CAGGCCCACCCCCGGGGAGGTGGGGGGTGTCCATCCTTGGGATTAGGCCCGGGGGGGGGGGGGGGGGGGGTTCTGTTGGATCATGAGGCGTACGATGAGGGCTGCGCTGCCGTTGTGTTCTGTGTTCTGTGGTAGAATATTTTGGCGGGCGATAGAAATCCGGTGTTATGGGAGGTGGTGCTAGTGGACTATATTGCGGGACAGCAGGTGCGATGTAGGCCACTTGGAGTGTGTGTATGGCTGCGGGCTCTATTTGTCTCATGGTCTCCGAACTTTCTTTCGTGCTGTTGGTGGTGGTGCTGCCCTCCCCATATCATGCACTATGCACTACACTGCAGCTGTTCCTGTTGTAATTAACGTTTTGTAGGCTATTCGCGAAAAGAAGCACGGCACATCTGGAACTTGTACTCACGACACATGAGTTGTATGATACCGACGAAGGAGGGCGGGGAGTAGAGGGCATCCACCGTAATGCACGGGAAACAGGGGCACGGCAGCAGTGCTGAGGACTGGGGGGGTACATCGTTGTCTACTGCCCTTCGCGTTTTCATTATGGACTGCACCCGCGCTACTCCCCTGTCAACTGAGTCGTGGTGGTTATTTCCCCCATGACTGCTGAGCAAGTTTCAAGGTCTGAGTGCCTTGAGTATATTCTAGAAGGGGGTTGGCGGTCAGGTTGGTTTGGGTCACCACAGTAGCTCGCTGACTTTCAAGCCTGATTTTGGTGCCTTGGTCTGGCAGCGGGTGGAATATTTGCTGTAGGGCCTGTCGTAATTTGCGTGAACAACGTTCGAGAAAACACACGCGCGTGTTACTAGAAAGTACCGGTTGCTAAGTCCCTTGTTGCTGCTTACAAGTACGCTCGGAGGAGGCTCTTCGCCGCTTTGAAGACATTCCGCGGCAGTGCATCACAGATTTGATTTTTGTATTCTAGATACACACCTCGCTTCATTGAGCACTTGGGTGTTGGTGCACCTTTTGCGCTGCTGCTGCTGCTGCTGCTGTTGTGCTGTGCTGTGCTGTGCGGGTCATCGCTCGTCCGTAGTCGAGGTGCCGCGTGCACAGCGGCAGGAGGGGGCCCTTGCTCTGTCTGCCTGGCGTCGGTTTCCATCGTTCTTGAAAATGAGGGTGCGCATTGTGTATACTAAATTTACTGCTGTATGTAGTGCCTGCATTGTGCGCCGAGCGAGTTGGCGGGAGTGATGTGGGTCACAACGCCAAGTCACGGGCGACGACGACGTACGTACGTCTTTAGTTGGATTTATTGTGTATCATAGTAGACCGCAGTAGTTGGATTGATCGTAGATGCGTAGATCGGCGGCGGCAGCGAGACCTCGCGCGTGGTAGTGCAACAAATAAGTTTGTTTTGTTTTTGGGTATGAGTCCGGTAGTGGTACGGTACGGTACGGTACGGTACGGTGAACACGTGCGCGCGCTTGTGCAGCACGGTGGTGTGCGTGTGTCGTCGTCAATGATGCGTATGTCGTGGTATGCCTTCTTAGCCTGCTGTAGTTGTGTTGCGGCGAGTTCATCCGGTCGCTGTCTGTTGCTGATGACGATGCTGCTGAAACGGTCCAACGGCCTCACTCATAGAGTCTTGTTTGGCCGCCAAGGAGGGGACGACGGATGGGATGGAGGGGTGTGGTGGTGCTGTTTTATGCATAGCGGAGGTAGGTTTAGGTATCAATCCAGGTGCGTGTTTCACCCGTCTTTGGAATGACGTGCAAAGTACAAGAAGACTCGAGTGTCATTCCTTACCCTGATCCACCGCTGGGTACTACTGTTTTAGTTTGGTGTGAACATTTGTATCCTGCGCGAATACATTCGAACGTGTATATTATTTTGATGTCAAGTTTGTCGCAGCGTCCTGCGAGGTCTCCTGGTATTCATTTCCAAAGCAAGAGCAGGCGCGCGTGCGTGTGTTAAAATTTACTTGTTTAGTTTTCGGTTAATGAAATCGTTCTTTTCCGCATGCATTCGTAGCAGCGGGCGTAGCAATTGTTTTGATGCGAAAAAGAAAGAAAATATGTGCTTGTCCCATCTTGTTGACTTTCCGTCTCTTGTGAGTAGTCCTACACACCCTGCTTGTGTGAAGGCGAAGTCTTTTTCGTAGGATGATATATATACGATACTTTTGGATGGACGCGGTTCGTACGATCACGCTTATGTAGTATATTGGGGAAGGCGGAATTTCTCACACGGTATGCATGCCTGTTTGGTTGATTGAGAGAGTGAGTGACGAGCGGAGGGAGACGAGCAGTATGTATCAGTTTCATTTAGAAAGGTGAAACACACACAAAAAAAAACTGACGGTTGACCCCGAAAATGGAAGCAACATACCAATATGCATGTAGTACGACTTGTTTTGGTAGTTTTCGCCTCACAGGGGCGTCTGTCTGGTGAACGTTGATTGCACGATCCGACATGGTGACCCTATTCTATTCGGATCTTGCGCGAAATGATCTACATACACCAATGGCATATTGGAGGTCTGTCTGTCTCAGTCTCCACAACGCTATCCATCCGTCTTTTTCGTCATGTCATGTGATGTGCCAGAAATCTTGTGAAAAAAAGTGACACAGGTTTTCTCTACGCTCACGAACTTCCAGGCCGCGCCCCCCCCAGCCTAAAGTACCGTCGGGAAGCAAAACAACAGCAGCGAAGATACCTTGTGGAGCTGGCCCCTGGTGCAATTCATTACTCTTTTTCTTTTCCCTCTTCACTGCCGGGATTTATTTTCACTTTTTTTTCAAGAGCAATCGATTGAAAGGCTTGGCACCTCGGCACGTTCTCAAGCAAAATTTAAGGGAAAAAAAATACACGCACAGAAAGACGATTTACCCATTCGAGATATACCCACAGTCGAACGGGATGTGGTGAGGTCTTTACAGCAGTGAGTGGAGGAAAACCGGCTGGGTACTGGACTTATTTCGATTATTTTTTAAGTCTATACACCGATTATTGATATCAGTGATGCCATCTGATGTTAAGTACAAAAACATCTGAATAGATAGGTAACCTACATTTTACAATAAATGCCGTGTAGTTTGCAGATGGACGCAAATTCCGGCAACATCAACATTCTGCCGTTCTTGCTCGTGGAATATCATGCAATGTTTGCCCTGCCCATGAACATCTCGAGCGTTTATTGGTGTAGTCTATGCGTCCAGCGGTCGTGAAAAAAAGTGACTGAAACCTCTTTCGTTGGAGAGGAGAGGGGCGGCAATCTTCCACCGTGACTAAACACCAGATCTTCAGTTCTTCGAACACCGAGGTTTTGCAATAAATAAAGGAATATGAAGCTGGCCGGCGTGCGATTGTCCGCGCACACGACGAAGTCGAGGGCAACTCGCCATCCAACAGACCATACATGTAGAGGTCAGATTGTGTGCATATTTTGTATGAAGGGTTTTCGTCCAAACCTCGCTCAAACAGATCGTAGGCGGGTTGCATACAGCAGTTCATTGATGGTGCAAACTTTTGGATGCCGTCTTGTGTGCCATACCCCCCTCTCAACAAAATCCGCCCCCCCCGGTCATCCTGCCAGTCCCGATCGAGTGAATACCCTTCCATCCAACAAACACATACTTTCAGCTGGTAAAAATGAATGGTACTTAAGACCCAACCAAGGTGTGTGTGTACATGCCACATGCCCAACCGTACAACAAGCTCCCAAAGGAGAGGATTATTAGCAAAGCACAGAGGGGGGCGATTGACAGCTACTACTTCACGAAAAGAGGGGTGGCCGCGTTTAGCTTGGCCCTCGGCGTTAAAATGAACTCGGGCCAGAATAGCGGGATAGGAGACAGCCACTTCATCATCGACAGCCCCCCAAAGGAAGCCAACACCGAAGGCAACAACCCCTCTTCATGTTTGTCATGTCATGTCATGTCATGTCAGCAGCAGTTCAGTGTGGACGGCGGTGTAAAGAAGAAACAGCGGACCACACACAGCCCATACAAAAACGCAACACGCACGTCCCACATGCACATGTATCGAGTACGCACCAAAAATATCAAAATATCGGGCGCACGGAGACATACCCGAACCAGCTAGAAACTATCGTACGCCGGCAGAACAAACCAAAACTAATTGCGGGTGGCTACCGGAACCGAACGTTCTACAATTGTTGGCAGTGCCCCGGTGGTAAGTGAGTGAGTGTGGTGGTGACGTTATTTATTTCCTGCGTGCAATAATTCAATAGAAAAGCATCAGTCCGTAAGCAGGCCTCGTCACGGGCGTCAAAAAACGACGGCGGTGCGGGCGCCTCCAATCGAGCCAACCCAACCACCACCCCGAACACGCCTGCTTCCATGAGACACGCACGGACCGAAGTCTTACGGTAACTAGAAATGCGAAACAAAAAACAGACTAGAACGGAAAAATATCTATGCATGTCATAGGAGTAGCGCTAACACGCCTCCTAAATCGCGCCCGACACGTTGAGCCGTTAACGGAAGACGGAAATTACCTAGCCACCCACGCTCTCTAATTGCGCAATCAGCGTCTAGAACGCCATCTGTTCCAAGTATGTGTGCTAGCCTATTAGGCGGCCGGTGGCCAACGCCCAAGGAAGAAGACGAAAGGTTCTCTACAGGTACAATACTTTTGTGTTGCGCAAATGATTCACATTATTATTCCTCTCGTGTGGAACGAAAACCCTATAACTGTAGCCCCAGATGATATCTCCCAACTACAAGGTGTACTTTACAAAATATTTCGACAACGTCCAGGGACTACTGTAGAACAAGAAGAACATACGTACCAGGTATACCGCAACGACCCTTAAACAACTACTTACCCCTCATCCCGTGGCCATCACTGCGAAAAAAAAAAGCGAAAACAAATCCAAACTATTCCCGTACATAACTGGTGGCCTTGTCAAAAAATCCTGGTAGCAAACTGCTGCAGCTGATGGAGCATCCCTCTCTCTTCGACTGCTGCAGTGCTTCGCCCGGAAAAAAGTATCATCAAGCCGCCGTCTTTTACCCGCCCTCCTCCCCCACGTCGACGCTCACCCTAGCTATTTCCCAAACCCAAGGCTTACGTCTACCCACCAAAGCCCATCCCATTGTGACGGCGGTTATCATGCCTGTCTGCACCGTGCGGCAAGAGCAGTAGCGGACATCTAGTCAGTAACGCATCCAAGCGCCTTCGGGCGGGACCCCCTTCCAGCCGCGTGAAAACGCAACTGCCGTTCCCAAGGCATTCGAGGGCCATCCACCACTAGACCTACATCAGTACCACAAAACGATCCCCGGCTTCTTTCGTTCCGTCCCGGCGATTCAGACCACGACAGAAGCAACAAGACGTTCCTTCGGTGTATCCGCACTTACTAGCTTATCTCTAATCCGTGGCGCTTACTTCTTGTTCTTCCTCTTCTTCTTCTTCTTGCTGGAGGTGCTGTTGGAACCCTTTTGTAAGGTCGCCTTTGGTGCCGTGACTGCCGGGGTCGCCGCCGCTGCCGCCGCCGCCGCCGCCGCCGCGCCCTTCAGCACGGCCTTCTCAACACCCGTCGCTGTCTTCTCGGCAACGGCAGCCGCAGCCGCTGCCTCGGGAGCCTTCACCTCAACAGCCGGTGCCTCCGGTGCCGCAACATCTACAGCGGGGGTCTCAACACTCAATGATGGCACTTCCGGTGTCTTCACCTCGACAGCAGGGGCTTCCACACTCACAGCCGGGATTTCCGGTGACTTCACGTCAACAGCAGGGGCTCCAACGCTGACAGCCGCCACTTCCGCCTCGACAGCAGGGGCTTCCACACTCACATCCGGGATTTCCGGTGACTTCACGTCAACAGCAGGGGCTTCAACGCTGGCATCAGGCACTTCCGGCGCCTTCACGTCAACAGCAGGCGCTTCAACGCTGACAGCCGGGACTCCCGCCTCGACAGCAGGGGCTTCCACACTCACATCCGGGATTTCCGGTGACTTCACGTCAACAGCAGGCGCTTCAACGCTGACAGCCGGGACTTCCGCCTCGACAGCAGGGGCTTCCACACTCACAGCCGGGATTTCCGGCGCCTTCACGTCAACAGCAGGGGCTCCAACGCTGACAGCCGCCACTTCCGCCTCGACAGCAGGGGCTTCCACACTCACAGCCGGGATTTCCGGTGACTTCACGTCAACAGCAGGGGCTTCAACGCTGGCATCAGGCACTTCCGGCGCCTTCACCTCAACAGCAGGGGTTTCCACACTCACAGCCGGGATTTCCGGCGCCTCCACCTCCACATCAGGCGCTTCAACACCGACAGACGGAACTTCCGGCGCCTTTATCTCAACCGCAGGGGCTGCAACACTGATACCAGGCACTTCCGGTGCCTTCACGTCAACAACCGGGGCTTCAACGCTGACAGCCGGGACCTGAGACGGGAAAGATGGAGCAAGCAATGGCGATGTAACTACTGGAGGTTCGGCATGTACTGGTGCTGGTGGCGATGGTGATACAAGAGGTGGGTCACGGCGCAACATGACTGCTGCCAACGGGTTTAGGAAAAAGGACCCTACGAAAGCACGTCCTCAATGATGGTTGATCACTCCACCTATCTTTTCATTTCCAATCCGAGCGTCGTGCTCCATGTTCTGCACGTAGCGAAGAACCCCTCTGCATGGGCTGTCTGAATTGCTCATGTCAACAGGCTCACGCCGAAAAATATTTTGTCTTTATTTGTGTAGCATTGTGTTCCTAGTGACCTGTGCATGAGCTGTCTGAATTGCTCATGTCAACAGGCGTAAAAAAAAAAAAATAGCATCACGCTCGTTTGGAGAAGAGAAGCAACGACACGCCCAGACCAAGCAGGGTAACACGAGAACAACCACGCGGCTGCTCCAGAAACTCACCTCCACTGCCGGGGTGTCAACAAACGGCACGTCCACGGCCGGGGTGTCGACAGCCGCAACCTCCACGGCCGGAGCGCTCACATCGGGGACCTCAACAGATGCAGACGGCACCTCGACAGCCGGAGTGTCAACAGCCGGCACCTCGACAGCCGGGGTTTCGACAGACACGGAAGGCATCTCTTCCGCCGCTGCAACCTCCACGGCCGGAGCGCCCACGGCCGGGACCTCAATGGACCGGGCATCACCGCCGACAGACGGCACATCCACGGCCGGCACATCAGCTGCCGGGGTGTCAACTGCCGGAGTCTCCACGGCCGGGATCTCGACGGAAGCGGAAGGCACCTCGGCTGCTGCCGCCGCCGCAACCTCCGCCGCCGGGGCGGTCGCATCCGGGACCTCAACAGACGCAGACGGCACCTCCACGGCAGGTGCGTCAACTGCCGGAGTGTCGACAGCCACGGCAGGCGCTACGACAGATGCCGCAAGTTCCACTGCTAATGTGTCAACTGCCGGAGTCTCCACCGCTGGTGTTTCAACAGCTGGCGTGTCAACAGCCGGCGTGTCGGCCGTCACGGAAGGCGCTTCGACCGCCGCAGCAACCTCCGCTGCCGGAGCACTCACGTCCGGCACCTCAGCAGATGCAGACGGCACCTCCACCGCCGGCGTGCCAACAGCCGGAGTGTCAACAGCCGGCACCTCGACAGCCGGGGTCTTGACGGACGCGGAAGGAACTTCGGCGGCCGGTGCCGAAACCTCCACGGCCGGAGCATCGACCGCCGGAACCTCAGCAGACGCAGACGGCACCTCCACCGCTGGTGTGTCAACCGCCGGCGTCTCGACAGATACGGAAGGCGCTTCGGGTGCCGCAGCCACAACGTCCACGGCCGGAGCGCTCACGTCCGGGACTTCGACAGCGGGGGTGTCAACAGCGATATCGGGCATCTCGCCGGAGGGTGCAGCATCGACGGTCGGTCCTGAAGAGCAACGTCGTCAAACCAAGCGGAGGGGGTGAAGGCATTGGTCAGTGGGCAATGTGCACAGCATGTCTCATCCACCGGTAACAGCGAGATAGTACTGTTCTCGAACAAGACCAAAAGGCACGCTACTCGCCCACATATCCATTGATTGACGACAATGAGAGGTGCCAAGCAGCGAGTGATCTTGAGGGCTTCCGAGTTCAGGATCATGGTCACAATCGAACTATTTAACGGCAATCGGCTTCCCCCTCCCCCTTGACAGTCAAACAAACCAACACGGCCAACATACAAGCCGAGGGAGCCAACCAACACCTCGCCTACTTGCGGGCACGCCTCGGCTTAACCTACAGCAGATTACGTCATCCCGCCCAGGGACTTCACCCGCACATTCCGTTGGCCATTTTCTTGGCACACAAACCACCCAACAAAAAAAAAAAACTTACCGGATACACCGAGGCCGCCATCGGTCGCTGGGGCAACTACAGCGGCGGTGCTGTCGGGCCCAACAATCGCCGATTCCATCTTGGCCACCATGTCCGAAACAGGCGGCAGCTCGCCGGCCTCCGTCTCCGGCGCACCCTTCTCGACAGCCGCCGTAGCGGGAGGAGATACGGCGGCGGCGGCGGCGGTTGGGACGTCTACCGCACCGCTGGGAGCGGCAGCCGGGGTTTCCACGGAGGCTCTCTCGACGACGGCAGGAGTTTCCGCTACCACCGGCACGGCGGCGGCGGCGGCGGCGTCGACGGACGGGGCTTCCGCGGATGAAGCGGGTACCGCCGCGTCGACGGCGGGCGCGGCTACCTCAACCGCGGTGGTGGCGGTGGCTGCCGTCTCCGGCACGGTGGCATCAGCAGCAGCCTTCCCTACTTCAGTAGGGACAGCAGTAGTAGCGGCAGCATCCGCGGCAGGGGCCGCGGCGGCGGCGGAAGCTTCAACGGGAGTAGCCTACGAGGTGGGGTGCGGGGGGGGGGATCGAGGTCAGATGCACTTGACAGAAAGCAACAAGGGGTTCCATTCGAGTCGAACAAGTTCCTCGTAAGTCCTACAAGCATGTGGTGGCCGTCCCAGCTCACCAAGCTGGCATTTCTCGCAAGAGGTGACAAGGGAAAATAGAGAGGACGACAAGGCGTACATACAATGTACAATGGACACTCCAGCCGAAGGGTAACTTGTCAAGTGTAGTTTACCTACTTGGGAGCAACCACCGTGCCACATCCCACAGCAGTATTACCAAGTTGTACAATACACTGTCACCTAGGGTGGTCGAGCCGACGCTTGTGCGCCTCCACGGTTACTAGCCCGGTTTATCCGGTACGAGTCAGCACAACACGTGATTTCGTCAAAAACAAAGGACAAAACCACTCCTGGACACACACCATCATAGCACGTCGCGCGTCGCACCGCGAAACATCGAACACCCCCCTCACACTACACGCCAAAAGCCGGGGAGGGCATGAACGCACCTCAGCCTTGGGCACGGTGGCCGTCGCATCCTCCACAGCGCCATCAGCAGCCGCCACGTCCACCGCCTTGTCCGCAACCGCCTCGCCGACGGCACCCGTGGCGACGCCTACGGCAGCATCTGCAGGTTGTGCAACCTCGCCGCCGGAAGGGGCAGCAGCATCGGCCGCGGTAGCAGCCGAAGCAGCGTCAGGGGCAGCGGCAGCGGCAGCTTTGACGGCGGTCGTCGCGGCTGGTGCCGTGTCGGCAACTACTTCTGCCGTCGGGTCTGTCTCTGTCTTGGTCTCTTCAGCGTCTGCTGCTGGTGCCGCCGAATCAGTAGCTGCCGCTTTGGCGGGAGCGGAGGCGTCGACAGCAACGGCGGTTGCGCCCGCTTTGTCCTGGTAAGGGGAGGGGTACAAACGTGTGGACAAGCAGCAGACGAATCAAAAGGGGTGCAACCTAGTTCAGGGTTCGGGTGACAACAGGGAAGCATCCTCGGCACACAAGCGCAGAAGACCAACAGCCAACAGAAAGGTCTGGGAGAGAGTTGTTGCCTCGTCGGTGACTTTTTTATTCGGCAGGCGCCGCATCGGCAGGACCAAAGCGTGTACACGAAATGGCGATGCCGTCACCGAAGTCTTGCCGTGCATACACTACGGTTCAGCACATCTTGCCTACAAGGCATGACAAGGGTTTACACATCAATGAATGCTTGTCGGTAGGTTGTTCCTCCCCCCGAATGACGCCGGGCCGAGAGAGTAATTTCGGGATCGCAAATAACCAAGATACTGCCCGCGTGATGTTCAGCAACGTGTGTGCCACTAACCAGCACGCGGAAATGGTAATAATCTTGCAGACTGACCTCGCCGTCACACGGGCGAGGCCAACAAATGAACAGCAGCAGTCTAGGACTCTAGTAACTTCGCGCTGGTGAGAACATGAGGACCCGACCAAGCGTGAAGTGTTACCTACATATGCATTCCATGGTACGAGTTTTGTGCCGTTGTGCCAGAGGCTGTCTAGCGAGAATCGTGCACAGCAGTGACTGGCATGCCACACATAGACGTGCCCAAACCAAACACATATGTACAACGCTGATGCGAGTGCATGTTCTTTTCCACCACCCGCCGTGAGAGCCCGTACTACCAGACAGGCACGCTCAAGCAGAGGGCATGGAGGATCACATGGCGGGATGTTTTATCGATCCTGCTTCCATGTTTTGAACCCACAAGATTTTTCAATACTTCCTAGGCGCATTTGCTCCTGTTTTGGTACTATGCCCAGGCTGAACTGCAAAAAAGCTGATGTCCGTGGTCACAAGCGTGTCAGTCATGTAGCCTTCCCAAGAAAAAACGGAGCAAAAACGTGAAGAGCCCGCTTCAAAAACGGAAAGCTCTGAGTACTAATGCATCAATGCACCAAGTCAAAGAAGCGGCGCGGTTTTCATCACCTGCGTCCGACGCGCCTCCTGCCATATCCAACTCTTTTGCGCCTCCTGCTGTGTTCTTCGTTAGTACTCGTTTAAATGTGATTACTTCTTTTGACTCTAAATTCTTGACGCGCATGTGCGTCATTGTGCACTTCATGCGTACCAGTACATCGGGTACAGGACGCTTGGAATCTACCAGTACAAGATAAGAGGCAAACTACATAGACGTGCCTTCTCATCCGACAAGAAAGTTGTTTGCTCTACAATATACAGCAGTAATCCCAATGTTCCATGCATAACAATGCCGTTGGCTCCTCCCCGTGCGTGGACGGAAAAGACGGCGACAGCCAATCACATCCGGCGTGAGAGAACATCATCCATCCGTGAGAGGACATTACAACAGAAGCTGAACGGCGGCTGATGTTTGCGCTGGCTCCACACCTCACACCGCCCGCCGCCGACCTACCTAAAAAGCTGTGGCTCTCCTGGGCTGCGCGTAAAGGTCGTCATATGGAAGCACATAGTCTATGGCAACATCCGCTACGATGCGAATCAAATTAGTTACAATAACCGAGCAAAGAATGCGCGTGCCCTCCCCCGAATGAAATGTTGTTTCAGCGTCATAGGATACATGCAGCCCGTGAGCCAGTCCATGCGTTGGTTGTTGTTGTTGTTGTTGTTGTTGTTGTTGTTGCCTTCACATTAAAAAACCGTTCCGATCTCTCTCTACACAGTACCTTCATATGTCCGTACTGATCCAACACTTGACGCCGTCGATTCCCGTAGTCACAGGCTATGTAACTTACCCTAAAAAGGTACACGCTCAAACAAACTGGCCCCAAGGGAAGGTACTGGGAAGGTACTGGGTAGAGAGAGATCGGAACGGTTGTTAATGTGAAGACAACAACAACAACAACAACAAGGGGTCCGCAAGTCAATAGAAATCAACGACAGGTATTCTGGAGTCCTCCGCTCCCTCTGCGGGTTGGGACCCCGACAATTGGCGGTAACCGCGTACCATGCATCGCCACGCACCACTCGCCCATGACAACACTATTATACATGATATTTGCCTCGGGTCTCTGCCTGACGTACCCACGAAATGCTGCACTACATTCAAGTCGTGCTTCTGTCTTACACCAGCAGCCGTGCTGCTGTGCTATGCGTTGGGACTCTCCGTTGTTCGCTCTGCCGCACATTTCTTCGTTGTTCGAAGTTGAGATAGAGCAGGTGGATCGAAGTTTAAGTGCCCCTGCGGCAGTTGCCTAGCAGCAGTTCTTTTTTGGCTGTGAAACTATCGTGTGTATGTGCGGTGTGATCACATTTTCTACATACATATACAGCTGAGCTGGTGAACGTTGGGAAAAACCACACGACACCATGTACATAATCTGCTGCTGCTGTTGTGCAGACGAGGCACGCCGTTCATGTACAAAGATCCCTGCGAGATGCCCCACAAAAGTATGGGCAAGCCAAGCTCGAACCTTCATGGGCAGCACTCGTGTCGGGGGGAGGGGGAGCAAGCAAGCCGCCAACGCTCTTCGCACCTGGTGTCATGGAGCGCGGGCCATGCACACCCCACGCACATGCTCTTTTTGGGTCCAAATGGAACCGATTTCAAAATCGAAGATATATTCTCATACGCCGAAATACAGCAGCACCACACAGCAACGCGGGCGTACTCCCAAGCACCGCACACACAGGCCTCGATCTCCGGTCAAGGCACAAGGCACAGCCGCAGTTGAGCTCACTTTCACGAAAAAAACGCTTCTGTTCTACTCTACTCCACACTCCACACAACGCTCGTCTGAAACACACCTCGGTCGGTTTGACGACGAGATCTGCGGGCGGAGCCGCTGCTGGAGCGGGTGCCCCTGCCGCGGCTTGTTGCTTGGATGACGTGCACCCCATGTTGTCTCTACTCCGGTGGTTCGCGCAGGATGGCAGGCAGGGAGCAGGCAACTAGGATGAAGAAGGCGTGTCAAGTGGACAACGACAACAAGCCAACAGAAAGGTCAACGAAGGGAAGTTGAAAGCAGGGGGCACCGCAGAACCATTTGTTTGGCTCTTTAAGGTCAACGATCTGAGTTAGCATTTTGTTCGTGTCCCTCCCATCTTTGCTCGCCCCTTTTCCGCAGACAAGGGTACGCACACGCACACGCGTTCGTGCATCATCATCATGACTGCTGTATGCAACGTAGGTTTAGCGCGTGGCGTGATTTGTGGAACCCATGAGCGTATGTTCGCAAAGCATTAACATTTATGCCGAAAAGATCCGAAGATCCGATAATAAAAGTCTTGCCTTGGGTTACATTTGGCGAAGCGAGTTTATTGTAGATGCTCGTGTGTTTTTCACGTTGTGGCGGATCGCAGAGGTCAATCTGGATTGAACGCATACGGACCCTCCCACTAACCTATTGCTATTGAGAGGCACCAAAGAAGGCGATGTTTGAAGAAGTTATCCAAGTTATGCAGGTCGAACCAAAGGCACAAAGGCACAAGGTCGAGACCGCTCTCAATTTGTCCCCTCTCCCCTCTCCCTTACCTGGTGGTGCAGCGGTTCTCTGTACGCACTCCTGATCGTCTTGATTTCACGGAGCCCCCTGTCCTCGATGACGATCAACAACACAACACATTGTGATGCGCGTCACGCAGCGCGGGGGCTGTTCAGTGCCACCTGCGCATGAACACGACGATGGAGGGTGCATCTTCCCAACGGTCACTTTATGTGCATGATGGTGCGGCCGAAGCCAGCGCTACAAATATAGATGAAGCGGTGAGAATAGGTTTGCCCGCACAAGACTAAGCCCAGCAGCAGCACCAGTACACTCTGCTAGGCTGGTAGACCTCCGTGTCACAGTAGTGCGCGCATATACTACTGCTGCTCATGCTAGAAGGGACTTTGATAGGATGAGTTTTCCGGCTCTCTTTCGGTGACCCCGTGAACCTGGCCCATGTCGTGGGTACTGGCGTATTGGCTGCTGTAGGCGGGCCATTTCAACCGAAGACGGGAACGAGCAGACAACTGCTACAGCAGTACTTCAATAGCTGAGGTGTTGTCAAAGCCTGCCGCTGGAAGACAAGAGCTTCGTTCCAGTAGTTTACAACGGAACGGAGAGAAGAAGACGGAGGTCTGTGCAAACGTTAGTTTTATTGTACTGTTGACTGCTGTAGCACGCAGCTAAGCTGTCCACAACCTCCCCGGCCAGCCAATCATAGGCGGGGGATTTGGGCTAAAATTATAGCTGGGGGCGTGACAATAAAACCAAGTGAAGTTTGACCAAAAACCTGCTGTTCCACCACGTGTTCCGCCGCGTGGAACACTTTTTTCCACCGCACTTTTTCAAATGGGGGCCAAGACAGCGATCAGCACCAGGACACATACGACACAAACGACCACGGTTATGATCAGACCGAGCACGCCAGGAGTGTAACGAACATGGCAGATCCACCTATCCCTCTCGCCGCGACCAATGGCAATGCTCCTGGTGCTCATGGCCGAAGACGGCTCCTCGGACCGCGAAAACCGAGGCAGAGAAAAGGGTACGCCGCCTTGTATGCCTTGAAGCCCGCAGAGGTTTGTTTCAAGTGCGCGTACGCCGAACGCAGCGGGTGCACGGAGGGGACAGACGGGAGTGACAGAGGCTACAGTGGAGCGTGGCATGCAGCAGGCCAATTGAGGGCAAGCCGTACGTACGATCATAAGCACTTCGAGCAGTATTGCGCAGCGCACTGGCCTGAAATCATGGAAAGCACGAGCGGAGGCCGGGTAGCGCGGCCGCTGACTGCAGGGGCAGCAGCGGGTGCGTCTTCCGCGGCTGAACCCGGCTCACGTTCCGCAAGCAGCACGAGCGGTGCGGGTGCTGACATTGACCAGGTTCCCTTGGTCGCCACTTTTCCTCGCCCAGGAGGGGCAGAGGTTCAGCTAAAGAGGCTATCGGACTTGTTTTTCAACGGGCAGTCCTGCCCCACGAAGGAGAGTGCCGATGCTCCACGGGTGTTGTCGCCCCGAACACAGCGGCACACGGAGCTCACGGATAAAGCGGTTAGGGAGGCGGTGGCGAAGGTTGTGCATCCGCTCAGGAAAGGGATGCCGAGGCTGACGAAGGATGGGTCACTGTCGGACTCCGGGAAATGGGGAGACGCTTGGAAGGATCAATCCAAATGGCCTGGGGCGTACATGCGTCTGGAGGATTCGGGGATACGTGCTATGCGGTCCAAAGGGGATGGTGACTGGACGGCGGAGTCCAAGGAACTTGCGCGGATACACCACCTGGTGACCGGAACTGTCGTGTTCGTCATGCCTGAGGTGATTTGCACGAAACAGTAGTCGTAATAGTCGGAAGAACATAGTTTTGTATGCCTGCACGTGCAGGCTTCTCTAGTCTCGACAGCAGTACGGCAGTAGTCGGGAGTACGACACAAGATCATACACCCACATGAGATAAGAGACACCCCCATAGAGTACAACCCGGTGATTTGTACGACGAAGTGTTGTCCCCGGGGTTTAGTAGGATTTCGAACGAGTACGCGGCTCCAACAGTCAAGGGACAGAGGTTCCAGCGACGTGTGTGTCGTGTGTGCAACGAACGTTCCTGCTGTATGAAGTATACAAGTACGATGATGAGAGCCTCGCCGTTGATGAATGAAAGCGCCCCCCAAAACCACGCATCTCTGCCTATCTGGGAATATGTGTCTAAGTATAATGTAAACAGCACTCGCGATGATTCTACATTTTGCTCCTTCCTACCCGCTGAATGTTCAGGTTTTCGACAGACAAGCCCTATTGGCATCGAAAGAATTTCAAGTCATTCGGGGTGACCGGGTGGTTGGCGCACGGTTGATTTGCCCGACCTGCCGGAGCAACGCCCACACGAGTTGGGCTTCGTGGAGCGACGTGAGGACGAGTGTTGGCATTTCCCTGCTAGTTGCTGCTGTGCAATAGCAGACGTCGTAAGAATGTCTTGGTATTTCCCTGTGTGTTGCTGCTGTGCAAATATGGTGGGCATGTCTTCTGTGTATTGCTTTATTTTTACGCGGTGGGCGCATGCCAATCACCTGATGTTAAGGTGTTTCTGTTCGCGGCGTTTCTACATCTATCAGATCCGAGCGGTTCACAGCATGTCTGGCGAGAATTTGCTCATTTGCTCAGCCCGCCACCGATGCTTGGGGCCGGAGTGCCGAGCTGTAACGGACGCCACGATTGCAGCCATGAAACGGCGAGACGACGGTGGGGAGGCGAGGGTGCAAGCCAAGAAGAAGGGAGCGGATAGCGTGGACAGTGCACCCGACGCTGTGAAGGCGGCGTTACGCAGGGGTGATATCAAGTGGGAAGGATGTATGAGTCTTGTCAAGACTCTGCTCAAGGGAGGCGTGTCTTTCACGATTTCGGACCTAGAGGTGTGATTCTCTCGTGCCGCATAAATTGGCCGTTGATGGCAATGGGGCATCTCCCTTTCGGGCTATTGTTTGTCCAGCTGGTTGTTTATTACAATTCTCGCACGTGCCGTCAACATTCCTGACCGTTTCGATTGTTCCCGGTATCGCTGCTCTGTCGCCCACGAAGTTACATGAGACTTCTTCCGGCGGCTGTCCAAGCGAAGTACGACTTCGAGTGCTTCGGTAAGGGTGGCGCCGATCATGCCCTTCTCGACCTCACTGTGACAGGAGCGCAGCCTGTAGCGGCTTTGCACCGTCAAGCGAAGGAGGTACGCTAGGGGGTGTTTGTTGTGCCCTGAATACCTGCGGTCAAATAAATAATATCTTACAAGTGCAGAACGGAGAGTAGACCTATAAACTCGGCAAAACTAGGATCGGGGTTTATATTGAAAGTGCTTTCCCGATGCAACTCCAGATGCTACTCCAGAAAAATAAATCATATGGTTTGCGTACAACGATGGCCTCTGCTTGGAGTTTCGGTTTTACTTTGCATTATGGTCTATTGATGTGTTATTCTTGCAGGCATACGACTTCAAGCAGAGACAGAGGCACACGTGCTGGAACGTGTTCGCAGCGATGCACAAGGGCTCAGGAGTGTTCCCGAAGTTGGGGGTGGTGGGGAGCGGCACCCTTCTATCTGGCCCCTCTCAGGCATACATGGAGACGTACTGCTCGAAGTCGTTCCAGGCGGTGAGGAACGCTTGGAAGGAGGGCTGTAGTTTTGAACAACTACGAGTGTTGGGTATGCTTGCACATGAGCTGAGAGTGCATCCACATCTAGAGCTAGGCCAAAACATGGGCTAAGCCTTTGCTGTTGATCGTTTGCATTAATTTTCCCCCTTGCTAGGTCAAGCCACTTCTGAAGAGAGAGCTTTGCAACCTCTCACCAGGGAAAGCGGTTTCGGTGGATGCTACGTTCAGGTTGGCGAAAATAGCCACTGGCGACGCCTCCTGCATCGTCTTCTTGCTGGGAGAGTTCGGCCACATCATTGGATGGGCCGCTCTACGGTCCGACAAGTGGAGCAACTTGTTGCCATTGCTTCATGCGTGAGTCATGCGATGCGATGTTGATGGGCGTGTAGACGCACCAAAGATCGGAGATATTTGAAGATGGACGCTAGCTTGTTGCGCTAACCTGGAGCGGCATCTCATTCTTTGCGGCGGTGACACACAGTTGAAAACGACGGCCTTAGATTCGAGACCCATAATTTTTCCTTTTTCCCCTGTTTTCACATCCTTTTACCAACGAACAGGCTGAGGGCACGTCTGGACCGGCTGGGGACACTGAACGATGTGGTGAAGGTGTTTGCGGACACCTGCTGCGAAGGGAAGAAAGACGTCACCGTTCACTTGTGTGTCGACATTTTCCCGAACGTGAAGAGGACTCCCTTCGCAGACCTGTTTCACAAGGTCCAGATTATTTCCACCCACACACTGAGTGCACACCCTCTCCACGCCGCACTATCCAGGTAAATCGAAAGCGGAAAAGGGGATAGATTTTCGACTGCATGGAAATGTTGCGATTCGTATCGTCTCGGTGATTGGTAAAGCTAACTGAGGTGTTGTAGTAGGGCACACACGACGGGTGCAATGACCCATCCACGGACGTCGATGGTAGCGACAAACGTAGGTCACGATTGCCCGTTTCACCCCCCTGCTCGCGTTCTTTCTTTGACGTCGCCGCTTGCTGTTTGTCAGGGAGGTCGGCACCTGCATCGCAGCGAAGCACGAGCCGGACGTCCACCGCGTGGCGGCCTACATCATCAACAACAGGGGCGTCAACGCAGAGGAGGCTATGGCTCTGGCTGGGAACAGCCACTACAGGAGATTCGTCCGTACGCGCACACCTCCCGACTGCGCCGCCCGACTGGGGGACGTTTACGAGAAGTACCTCAAGCTCAGCAACGAATGCGTGCAGAGGGGCGAGAGACCGCTATACCAGTGAGTGTGTGGTGTCGTTACGCAGTGATTTTGTTGTTGTTTACGTCGTCTATACTCAGTTGAGATTGGGCTAGCAATTTTGTTGTCGTAGTGTTGACCATTTTGCCGTGGACCTCGATTGCGCACCCCGAAACAACAGGGAGAAGCGAGGTGCGTCGCAGAGCACTCTCTCTGCTTTCCAGAACGTCATCGCTTGCGCTAATAAGGGTTGTTTCGCCATGGACGACGTCAAGGACTCGTACATCTGCGACAGGATCGGCGAAAAGACTGAACTTGCCCACTTGAAGAAGCTCGGGGGCACCGGTGCAAACGAAGCGGCGCACAGGTAAACGGTTGTGGGTATCTACATTTATCCCATTTGTAGGGAAATGCTCAAGCAGCGGTAACAAGAATAACAACAATGATGGTAGGGTCTTTGAGAGTTCCTGATCACATGTTCAATAGTAGTACCAATTTCAAAAAATTGACGTGGGTATGCATACCCCGCCCCTCTACCGCCTTCCAGCCAGGCAAACGGAAGAATCGCGACGATAGCCTCAAGGATGAGTGAGGCGAGGTCTGAGCGCGAGATTTGGTTGTGGATTCACGAGCACAACCGCACCTGCGACGAGAACCGAGGTATAGCGAAGCCGGACTTCCTGAGAAACTACTGGGAAGAGGAGAAGATCAGGAGGCTGGCAGGGAACGTCGAGGGACCGTCCCCAGGAGGGAACCTGAGGATTCCACCGGAGGTAAGGCGCCGTAATACGTGTTGAATGGTACGCTTTCGGGAAACAGACTAGGGTTGAAACACAGTCAATGCACTCACGGTAGGTCGTCCCCGTCTGCAACCACCTGATTGTTGTCCGTTCCCGTATTCAACCTGATTTGTTCTTTCGCTAACCCAGTTGGAGGAAAAGGATATGGAGCTGATGGGGTACGACTACCTCTCTTTGGACCAAGACAAGGTTGCGAAGGAGGTTGCGGAGAAGTACCGGATGGACTGGAGTTCGATAAGTGCCGCCGCCTTACCAGCAGTGTCTGGGGAAGACCCCTTGCCAGGTTCGTTTTCTTTGCCGGCGGCGTTAGGAAAGAACCCAAAAACAACATCGAGTAGAGCACCATGTCCACGTACAAACTAGCGTTGTGTTTGCCCATGCTTTTGTCAGGGGAGAACAAGTTCGAACGTGAAGGAGAACAGACGCAAGTTAGGATTGCGCCTGCAACAAGTTCAGGTGTGGCGTCCATATCTTTTGGACGGCATGGGGGAAGAGGTTCCGAACGCATTGCCGGAGCTGGGGGCAATGTTAGGTCAGGTGCGGGCGGGATGGCGGTGACCGGGTTGGCACCTGCTGGAAGGGACAGCACCGCTGTGGGGGGAAGCGGAACAGGTGCCCCGAGAGCTACTACGACGGAAAGCGAAGCCTCTATGGGGGCGGGGAGCACCAGAGCAGGCTCTACCATGGCATCCGCAACAGCCCTTGGAAAGCGACCAGGTGCTTTTGATGGACGATAGGCATCTGTTTGAGACCGTCGCGTATAGCGTACAATGGCTTTCGATTCGGCATGCCCTCCCACCTTTGTTCCCTCCCTCCATTTTCCCTCCGTCTCGCCCCTCACGCCGCCACGCCTCACCATCGGCTCACGATTCGGCATGCCCTCCCACCTTCCTTCCCTTCATTTTCCCTCTGTTGCCCTCTTCCCTGACCACCACTGCAGCGGCTCGGACGGGCGGGACAGTTGGCGCAGGAGCGGCAGCAAGGGCGGCCTCCCCAGCAGATACTCGAGCTGGGCCGAGAGCGAGCGGGATGAGTTGGACCTCGAGAGATGACGCCGCACCTACGATGGGGCAGACGGCGGGCGTGAGGGAGGTGGCTGGACCGAGAGACGGGCAGGGGAGGGTAACCAAGTTCAGGAGGGCCTCCGCGTTGACTGATAAGTTTGCGATGCCTGCTACAGCGGACGACAAGAAGCTTGCATGCGCTGCCTTTGGGGCGGCGAAGGCGACAGGTCTGCGAGGCGAAGAGGTGTGGGAGGCTGCTGCCGCGGAATACAACAGCATGTTAGGCCAGGTCTTCCACACCATGGCAGCCACCGGTCAACCCAGCAAGTATAACTACAGCTTCAACCCCATCGATCGATCACACTTCAAGCGTTATTGGGAAGAGATGTCGGCTGCCTCCATATTACCGATGGCCGGTGCGGTGTTCGAGCGGTTGGGGGCGGGGGCGGGGGCGGGGGCGGCGGCGGCGGCGGGGGCGGCGGCGGGGGCGGCGACGGGGGCGGCGACGGGCGTGGAGCACCGGAAGCTAACTGCTCATGAACATCGCACGTGGAGCGGTAACAAACTAAGGAAGGCTTGTCGGGAAAGGGGCATTACGGTCTCAAACTTGACACTTTATCGTGACAAGGCGGCTCAGAAGTTGTCCGACGCCGGTTGGGTCGTCGGCGAGGGGGAGCTGGCAGAAGAACAAGTGGCATAGGGGCGGACTAGGAGTGCACGTTTGTTTTGGGGCGGCCGTCTTTGAGGTTGGGGTACTCCGTTTTATTGCAGGAGAGTGTGTGCGGGAGTCTCGTGTATGGATGAACCCGTTGTGTTTTTTGTGTACTTGAGGTTATCTGTTGTGCTGAGAGGGGGGTCTTCGTCCCTTTGTGCATGCTGCTACTTCTACATACAAGAGTAATTCTCCCATAATGTTCTTGGGTGGGACACTGCTGTGCCAGATACAGTATTGTAGTCTACATCATGTGAGAACATGATGTACTGCTGTAGATGGTATCATTGTGCACATAAGAAAACACAGAATCGGCGACGGCGGCCGTCTGCTGGCGGGAAGCGAACGTGTATAGAAAGAGAGCAGCAAAAATGCTGAGATGTACACACGCGCAGATTGACTTCGCGCTGAACGCTCTTCGGAGCAACAATTCGATAGGTATGACGTCTGATGTACGGCAGTGCTGCTGTAGTTGTAGCGTGAGCAGTGCGTTCGTTGTGTCCGTTGTGCAGACTCTTCGTCATACCACATATACATGCATATCACAGCCATCAAGGCGAATGTTACATGGATGGTCCGAGCGTGGATGCCACAGGGCTATAAGAGGAATCAACAACAGGCCACCACGCCGATACAAAAAAGCACTCGTCCTGCTGTGTGATGCACTGCTGCTGTGTGTATGCATACTACAGCAGTAGTTTGCCCCAGCCGCTAGCTGCGGGTAAGGATGCCTCGCTTAACAACCCAAGAATAGGTTGTTTGTCAGGTTCGTTGCTGTCGAAGAAAAAAACGCTGCTGTCGCCGCTGTCAGTGTGGTGAAACAGAAACCGTGCAAAATGGCAGCTTGATTGTGCTTTGCGGGTGTAGGGTTCATCCGCAGGACAGCTCTCTTCACCTTTAACGGCGCATGTGCACGCTCAAAGCAAAGAGAGACAGGTGTCCGAGAGAATTGGAATGTCAACGGAACAAGACCAACAGCAGTGCGTGGTGTCCGAGAGGATTGCTGATGAGTCAACGGAACGACAGCGAAAGGCGCCATGCGTCTATCTACCTACAATAGAGTACGAAGGGCCAGCTTGGGTGCACTGGTTCATGTTGATATTTATGTTGTTGCGTTGTGTAGCCTACGCGCGAGGGTCAAGCCTTCCTGATCATTTCTTTCATCATACTCCCCCGTCACCGTCATCCGTCTTCCCCAGCAGCCGTCCGCAGCTTGCTTTCGTAGATTCACACGACTGGAACAGGCGTTCTACGGTGTTCCAGTCTGTTCGACGATGGAACGGTGGAACATTCCTTCCCACACAAAGAACAAGTATTTTTTTCCCCCAGCGAAGACGTACTCTCCCTCCCCGGTCGTACCTTTTATGCGATGACGCCAAGCCATCCTTAGCGATGTACAACCGCTGCAGCAGTTTCTACCGTACGATGATACCGTAAGTGGCACGAGATAGCACACTCATAGAAGATAGCACACACCCAACACATCTCTCCAGGAAAGCACACCCGGTGATGTTTGTTTTGGGCACGGAGAAAACGCCAATTTATCACACCGTTGCCACAAGATAGCACACCCCCTACAATGCCGCATTTTCATTCACGGAGCGCCCATTATCACACCTGGTGGCTGGTGGCTGGTGGTACGGATGTGCACAGCCCGACGTGCACACACACGAACAGAGGCACACACCTGGTATGCACACAAACAAGGACAATACGGAGGTGAGGGAGGTACACAACCCTCCTGGAAACAACTCTGCTGGAAGTGACGAGGCTCAGACGGTGCCTTCAAAAAGGCCCGCGTATATATCACACCCCTCAAAGGAATGTGGCGGCAACAATGTGATGACACCCCTCCAAGGAGTGTGTGTGCTTACATAATAGAGGTATCACACGCACCCTTAACATACCACACCTCTTCTAGGAATATTTTGAATGTGGGAGCAGAAATTAGATGGCACTAGAGATATCACACCCCCTTTTTACCACGCCCCTTCAAGGAAAGTGGGAGCCGCAATCTGCTGGCAACGTTGTTATCACACCCCTTCAAAGGAATGGTGGAGCAGGTAAATATGTTACCACAAACCCTTTTCATCACCCCCTCCGATTGCGAGCTCTGTCAACGTGCACGTTATCACACCGGTGACACATGATAGCACACCCATTCCAGGAAAGCACACCCGCTGATGAGTTTTTTAAACTCCTAAAGGGGCAGGAGAGGAAATACGATAGTGTTGAAGTATGTAACCCTTGGGCTACATTATGCTATGTTCGTACGTGGTAGTAAATCGTTCATGTTGGCCCCCCTCCTTTGCCTTTGAGGCTTGGCACCGGCGCTACCGTACGTTGATGCTGCTGCCGGTGCACGCTGTTGATGTGGGAACATTAATTAGTATTGACGCCAACATCGATTATGCCGCTCTCGCTACCTGGCGCCTGTTGCCCCTTGCTGCTGGTCACCCGTGGCCACGACAGGGTGGTGCCGGTGCAGGCGCCCGGCCTTCCTCGGTAGCCCAGGAGGTTGGAAAGGCCGCCCGGCAAGGACAAGCAGGACGAGTTGGCGGGATTCTCATGTGGGGGAGATCTGAGCTGCCCAATGGTCTCGAGGGAGAGCATTTCTTCCCCGATGTTGTTCCCAAGTAAGACTATCCACAACTCAGACACCTCCCGAAAGGGATAAAGGGATGCAAGTGTTTATTGTAGCACCGACGGGTACGGACGGTGTGGGCCAAGCGGGTGGTGTCTGTCCCGTTGTTGGCAGCGTCGTTGTTGCTTGCACATCGCACGCCTCGTCTCTGCGGTCATCGCCATGCGAGTTGGCCCTGCACAACTGCTGGTAGCATGCAGTACGTGTCGTCTACAAGAGAAGGAAAAGACTGTAGTGTTGGTATGCACACCTTTGGGGGCTACATTCTACTTTGACGTGATAGTAAATCGTTTTATGTTGGCCCCGTCCCTTGGGCTTCGAGCCTCGGAAATATTAAGCACTACGATACGGTTCCAGACGAGCTTGCGGTGTTAGTAACAGTAGCAACCATCTACACACCGCGGCGCGAAGGAGAGTATCTAACTCCCCGGGACTGCCTCACAACCTTTGCGACCCCTCTCGCCGTTACACCGTGCCGTGCGGGGGCTGTGCGTGCTTCAAAAGCTTGACCGCTGTGCCTTTGTTTTTGTTGTTGCCGCCAGGGTGGACCCCGTGGACTTTCACGATGCCGGGGAAGAGGAAAGTGGCAACTACGACCTAGTCGAGGACCTCGTTACCGAAGAAACCTACAAGTGAGCTACTTTTACTGTTAGGCTTTGCTGTTATTCTAGGGCGTAGAAGTGTTTGCCAGGGATCGGTTGTCGGGGGATCGTGCGCGACTTTGAACCCTTTTCCTTCGGACGATTTGAGCCCGGTGCGTTCGGTGCTGGGCGTGCGCGATGCGTCTGAGGCTCTCCGGAGGGAGGCGCATGAGTGTTCCCACTCCGGATTTCCCAGTACGACACCGCACCTATAGAAGCCTTAAGGAGGGAGACCCCGCCTTTCACTGGCAACGTTCCTGCCTCGTGTGGTCTACTCTTTCCATTCCTCCGTTGGTCGTTCCAGGAAATCATGCAGTATCGTCGCTGTGCCCCTCCCGCCCCCCGTGTGTTTGCCTCGGTGTCTTGGGCCTACGCTACCGCTACATTATACGTGGTACGGTATGCCTTTAGGGTGGCGAAAGACCAGGCCTTGGAGTTCTATGCGTCGGGGAGCGGCCCGCGTCTAGAGCGGGCGCGCGCGCGCGCGGCCCGAGCCGCCAAGAACAGAAACGCGCGCCGCCGTCGCCGCCGCTCTAGTGGAGGCAGCGGTAACGGTAACGGTAACGGTAACGGTAGCGGCGGGACATCCTCGGGTTTGGTGCCACGGCAAGGCTCTTCGGATGACGACGGGAACGGCGGGGGTAGTGGTGGTGGTGCTGGTGGGTTTTCTTTTGTCCGTAGCAGTGGTAAAGGTGGGGGCGATTGCAGCGGTAGCAGCAGCAGCGACAGGAGCGACAGCAGTGGGTACAGCAGCTACGGCGGCCGTAGCACCAGCGGCAGCGGCAGCGACACCAGCGACGGCGAAACCGGCGGCTCGAAGAAGAAGGACGACGCTGCCGATGGCCTCGAAGGGGCGGGAGGGAGGGGCGGCAGAGAGGAGGCCCTAGAGGAGGACTTGGAGAGGTACTGGTCAGAGACACCATCGGGGGTGTTTGCATCCTCCTCTTCGTCATCGTCGACGACGTCTTCTGACTCGGAAGCTGAACCAAGGCCCGAGGCGAGACACATGGCCGCAACCGCCGCTTCTGAGGCCGACAAGAGCGGTGACGGAGTTGGGGGAAACGGAGCTGCCCGGCCGCGCCTCGGTGGTGCGAGCGGACGTGCCAACGGTACTAGCGGTAGCGGTGACGCCGCCCCGCAACACGGAGGAGGGGTTGTTGGCGCTGATAGCGCGAGTGGCGGAGTTGCGGGTGCAAGTGTTCAAGCCAACGGCGGCACCTCGGGTGCAAGCGCTGAGAGGATTAGGGCCGGTGAAAACGACATGGACGTGGACGAGGAGGAGGAAGGGGGATCGGTGGCTGAGAAGGGCAAGGGGCCCGCGCGTCGCCCAGCGGCGGCTCGTGGCGTTGACGCACGGCAGTCTCAGAGGGAGTCGGAGGGGAAGGGACTAGCAGGAGAGGTGGACAGTGATGACGACGAGGAGAGCTCGGGCAGTGAGCCGGAAAGGGGCAGTAGCAGCGACGGCGACGGAAAAGGAGGCGAGGATGGGAGGGGCGGAGGCGACGATGGCCTGGACGGCCCGGGAGCGGTGCAACTGCTGGGCCTCAAGGCGGAGTTCATGCCCGTGTCGCAGGGCGCGTGGGAGGACGCCGTCTGCCTAGGGGACTCCGGCGAAAGCGATGCTGAATCGCGCCGCCGCTCTCCGGTCGGCGGCCGTTCCAGGTCGTCACCGGTGCCGACGCCCATGGATGTGTCCGCGTCTGGGTGCGACGAGGAGAGGGAGGAAGGGGTAGGGGCTGCGGCCACGTCGAAAAAGAAAGAGGAAGGGAGAGGACGGGATAGGACTGTGGAGGATGGGGCGAGGGGTGCCGCGGAGGGGATTTCTGGCTCGAAGGTGGGGTCAGCGAACGCTGCTGCTGCCGGGGCTGCTGCTGCTTCTGCTGAGGCCAAGGTAGTTTGTTTGTAACTCTTGTTGGTGCCAGTCGACGAGGCTCGACATGCTTGCCGAAACACACGGCCGCATCAGCTAATTATTTGCTTTCCTTCCGGTTTACAGAAGTGGTGGGCTCGGTTTAGCGGCCCCTCACGCTGTTGCCGTTATGTCGGGGGGCAGTGGTGCCATGTGACTTTGGTGGTGGTACGGGGCATGTCGCTAAACAGACGCATGTCTCTAAACCACCCCCTCCTCTCTATTCCCGAGACTTGGGACCCAACGTCGCAAGGTGATGGTCGTAGTCGTTTCATGGCCGATAGGAGTGTGGTTGCGGAACACCTCGTGTCATGCGGCACAACGAGTCGTCCCATCCGCCCGATGTCGTTAGATTTTCTCGATCACCCCCCAGCCGCTGCACCACCGTTGCACCCTTCTTTCTGTTGGTTTGTTGCCTGATGCGTCATGGCTGCCTGCGCCTAGACGCGACACGCTAGGCGTCATGTCTTGAGGAGCAATTCAGTGCACCCCACCAAACGAAACCGAGACCACACAAAGCCCTTCACTGCTCCGAGCCAACTGTTGCTAGGCCTTCCCTCTCTTCCTTCCCTGTGATTTGTGTCGTGGGCTTGTCATTCATGGAGAAATGAATTTCATCTCGTCAGTGTTGTCTACTCCTTTGTGTGATGTGCGAACGACCATGTTGATTTTATATCTGCACCTATGACACTCTTCCACCCGGCTTCCTATTGTTTCTTCTGGCAGCTTTTTGTCTGGCTGTGTTGATTTCGCCCCACCCGATGGTGCATGTATCCTCCAGTCTGCCGCCCGCCCGTGCCCCCCCAGTGCCGTGCTATCGACGCCTCCTTTTGGTGCCGCTGATTCGAGCACATTATTGTTTACATGGTTGTGCGGCCTCGTGACTGCTGACACACTGCTTCCGTTCCTCTCGTTTACTGTTCTGTTCGCCACTCTTTCATCGATTTGTGCAGAAACCTGCCGCTGTCGCTGCCTCCGCCGCTGGAGCTGCAGCTTCCGGGTCCAAGAAGGTGCGTTCTTGAAACCTTCCTTTGAGTGCGGTCTAGGTCTCCCTTGGAATCCGATTCAGGCTGTGGTTGCAGGTACAAGAAGAATCGTGTGTGCGAAGCCTTGGTTGGCCCAACGCAGCTGCGTCGACCGTAGAGGGCGGTGGAGGGTTGAATGACGTTCGTAGCAACCTTTCATCGGTTGTGCAGTGCAGTCTGTCGTACCCCACGTCTGCTGGGCTCGCAACCGACGTCTGATGTTGAGGTGCAGCAGGAACGATGTCGGTAGGTTCGCCACATGAAAGCACCAACACTAGGTGGCTACAGGAGCGTTCCCTCCACCACCATCAACATCGCCGACAACAAGGACAACAATAACCTTGCGTTACTCTAAATCTTCACCCACTCCCGCGGCCAACGGCCGGCCCCCGGCCAACGGCGGGTTGTTTGATCCTCACTGTTGTGATTATTTTCTCCGATGCGATGATGCGTAGTGTTGATGTTGATTGTTGAACGTGTATGTTAGTGCTGAATGATGGATATGAATGGTGCCGTTGCCCCCAAGGTGGCGAGGCGTAGGGCTGCCACGGGCATGGGCATGAGGACGACAGCGTTTCCGGCGGCAGAGGGGAGCCCTTGGATCGACCCCCCCTCCGTGCTCAACCCACAGGTGCGATACTGTAGCTAGTTGTGGTGGGCGTGGTGGTGGTTGGTGCTGTTGTTGTTGTTAACCTCTTTGCTAGTCTGCAGAGCGTTTGTCGTATTCCCTCGCAAACTTGGTTTGTTACTTGCCAAGCATCTCATTGTTTTGCGAGAGTGCCAACTTCATAGCTGTAGGCGGCCGGGTCTGTGTTACGTACAATACTTAGAGGGAGTTTGATCATGATACCCTATCAGCGACGGCGTGATTTTTTTTTTGTCGATGATGATACACGTACACGTGTCTTACACCCACGGGCTTGCAAACCAATGAGTTTTCAAACTGTTTTTTATCCCTCTCCGCACAGCGGTATATCCATCTTCAGCAACTCCCGGTGTTGTGCGAAGACAATGTAATGGCACAGCAGCACGATGTAGATTTTTCCACTTTTGATGGAATTTTGTCAACCGGTGGAAACAGGTGGATGGGGGAGGTTGGGAGTCGCAGGTGCTGCTGGACGACTCCCAGAAGCTTAAGAAACCTACGATCCCGGTGTACCTCGATGACCCAGACATGCTTTTCGGGGCGCTGCACACGCCGAGGCCATCCCTGAGGATACTGCAGACCGAAGCACAACAGGAGAATGTGGGTCGTTGTCGTCATCTTCGTTTTTTGTTTTTCTAGGCTAACTTGTGGCGAGGGTTAAGAGTTAAGAGTGAGTACATGTAGTTGTTCTTGGTGGGCGGAGAGCGCCAATGATGATGTGTGTTGTTGTCGTTGTTGGCACTGATGATGTGTGTTGTTGTTTTTTAGCGGGGTTGCGGGGCAAAGGAACAGTATACGAAGAGAGAGACACACACAGTTTGTATCGCCAAAGTTACCATATAATAGCTGATCCGTGTCGATCGCTCTACCCATGCCTTCCGACCATCCAATGCGAAGCCATGGCACTTTTCACCGACAAAACATAGTCATCACCCACCGCCGGCACGATGAATGGCCACCAAGAATTTTGTCTCAAGTTGACAAGCCATCCACTATTTTTTCGTCTCAAATTGGCAAGCCATCCGCTATTTTTGGCCCCCCGTACCAAGCTCCGAGTCCTGTGTATTCATCCCATGCTTCCGCCCCGCCTTACGATGCGCACGACAACATCTACGACTACCTGGCCGGCGAAACAGAGCCACATCTTGGAGAGAACGAACAGGCGGCAGATGGCCACGGAGAAGCAGAAGCGGCTACAGTCGGCGGCGATGAAGACGGGGTACACGATCAACACGGTGGGGGACGGGAAAGCCAGCCGCGCCGAGAGCAATATCAGGTATGTACGTGCGAAAAGTGGTTACACATCTCGCCAGCAGTTACTGCTCTGGGTATTGCTAGCGCGCTGTGTTTGCGTTTGGCTTTCTGGTTCGTTATTTCCCTCTTTGTTTTCCGTGTACGTAAGCACCCCTCCCTTTGTTGTTGTTGTTGGCCTGCGTTCGCGGAAGGCATTCGCGTTGATACGGCCAGTGTTTGACGGATGCCAGCGGTGATACACGACCTGGCTCTATGCCTGTTTCCACCGGTAACAGGAACAATTGTCCGACCATGCATGCACGCACGGCCCATGGCCAGACGACGAAGTCAAGAACTATGTGGATCCTGCCCCTCTTTCTCTTGCAGCTGCTGATGTTTTTACCTTGGTCAGTCGACACCCGCTCTGCTGGTCGCTAGTAGTTGCGCCGCGCTCTCCGCACGTTCCATACCGTGTCGACGTGCCGGCGGTGTCGCCGCTCAAAGCCGAAAGAGACGAATAATAATATGAAGAAAATGAGGTGCAGAGGTTGCATGAAAATACTGTAGCTCACGTTCACCGCGAACACATACGTCGTACCAACTATTCGGGTGCCTTCCATTGCATCCTCGTGATTCGACATATGCTCTTCCCGTCACCCGCCCGCTAACCCATCTCGCCCTGTCTCACCCCCCTCACTTTTCCTTGCCCCCTTTCGCTGCCCCCCCTCTCTGCGTGTTTGCCTCCGCCACCTTTGCGACTGGGCTGGCGTTTGCCGCTGTTTTTGTCGTTGGGGGCGTTTTGTTATGTTGTTTTCAGGGCTGTCATCATTCGGCCCCCACACCATGCCTCTCCGGCGGAAGACAAGGTAAGTTCTGGAACCCAAGAACTACTGCTGTTTGGTGCTGCTGTAGGGCCTTGGAGTCATTCGTGCACGTCGTTGCTTGAGTCTCGGTCATGTCCTTGTTGCACATGAGGCCGCGTGCTGCGAGTGTCTGCGTGTGTGTTGGGTGCCGTTGGCTGCTGTGTAGTGTGGAATATGTTGTCTAGTCTGTGCTAGCAGGCGAGAGTCGACACCGACGGGTATCTCATGCCGCTCGATCGATATCTCGCTCCTAGGACTAGGAATATAGTGCAACGAGTAACGAGTATTGTACTACTTGGGGGAAGGTGTCGTCGTTTCAGCACAATCCTGTTCGAAAATCCCAAGAACATTGTACAGGATCAGGAGCAGTCGGTCCCATCTTTCGATTCGGTGTGTCTGATCAGTAGGGCCGATTCTCTTGCACTTATCTTTATCTCTCTTTCTCTACCTGTCTCTCTCTGTCTCTGTCTCTGTCTCTGTCTCTCTTTCTCTCTGTCTGTCTGTCTGTCTGTCTCTGTTTATCCTGTTCATTGTCTCTCTCTCCCCTCCCATTTTGGTGGTGTCGTACACAAAGGTTTTGATCGCTGCCCCAAAGAGCTGGGAAGACATTCGCAACCTTCACAGACCGAGGATGCAGATCCACACGCTCCTGCCCAATCAGATGTGAGTTTAATGTTTGTATGCATGGTCGCATGGAGGACGTGTTTCCAGTGCTTGTTTTTGCCGCCATCAATTGGCTCCGTGCTGTTCTTGTGGCTGCTGCTGTTGGTTGTTAATGTTGCTGCTGTCGCTGCTGTGCTGTTTTTCCTGCTCAAGCCCCGTATCGGGGCTTGAAACGACCTTCTGAGACCGACCACGGCGCACTGTAAACTATGAGTATGAGTTAAGTACACGCACCTCAAGTACGCGGTGAAAGCTGACGAAATATCCATGCACATGCGACATCAAACCTCGACCTCGAACAGGTCGATCGTTCGTCTTCCGAGAAAGCCCAAGGCATTGCAGGGGGGAGGGCAGGGCGGCGGGGGTTTCGGTGCCCGAATCGGAGAGGTGGTTTCGATGCCCATGCACAGAGAGAAGGCAAGAACTGAATTGCTCCAGCACTGACGAATCGTTGCTGGTTCCGTCGATGCCCTTTGGCGCCCGCTGTTGTTGTAGTTCGAAAAATATGCATAACGACCACCGAAAGGCTATCCGTTCGAGGGAATACCGCAAGTAGTCCAAGGGGATGTGTTGAAGACTCTGCTGTGAGTGGGGGCGAACACATGCTGTTGTGGTTGTTGTTGGCTGCCGATCGTAGCCCTACTTGCTTTCGCTGCGATGTTCTCAATTGGTAGGACCGTTTTGTACCGAGCTATTGGCGTGCTGTGGTTGTGGTAGTCTTGACACCCATCGCCCCCCCCACTTTTATTTTTCCGCGTTTCCTCACAGGACCTGCTTCCCTTAGAGTCCCACTCCACCTTCGTGGTTGTCGAGTACGTCGAGGAGAGACCTCCCCTCTTGGGGTCCACCGGCATGGCTTCGACCATCATAACCTTTGTGCGGAGCAGCAGCCGCCGGCCAATCGGGGGCATCGAGGTACGTGAATTTGGCATTTTTCTGTTCTGACCAAGATTTCGTTGGTGATATATTTCGATTCCAGGGTCAGTCTTTCATTGTCATTGTTCGACCACTTCAGTAGCCGCCGGCCAATGGGGGGCATCGAGGTATGTGAATTTGGCACTTTTCTGTGCTGACCAAGACTTCATTCGTGATCTGTTTCGATTCCTAGGATCAAGGATAAATCTTTCATTGTCGTTGTCATTAGTTGTTCGACCGCTTCTGTGTCCTTGTGTCGCATTTGACAACAGCTAGCTGTGTTTTTTCGGGTTGTGTCGCCGAAGGTATATCTAATAGATAGCTGGTCACTGTTTTTTCAGTAGACTCCTACCATATCCGGAGCCTCATACTTGGACATGAACTTGTGGACATTTAGGGAGACGAACCGTGAGGACGTTCTTTTGAAGAGGGACTCCTTGAGAAGCTGGAATCACCTCAGTGAGAGCGTGCTCAAGAATGTTATCAAGAATGTTCTTAAGAATGTTCTCAAGCGGAACTCCTATTTTTCTTCCCTACTCTGCAACTGCAATACAGAACGTCGACAAACTTGTTAGGAGGCTCGATTCCGAACCCGCTGTTGTTTTCGCAAAATATTAACAGGATATGCGAACAGATCAGGATTAACCAAACGATTTCACGTTGGCAAGGTAAAAGATGGTCTAGCGTGGAGAGATTTTATTTTCTTCTCCGCTCTGCCTGTCTGTCTCTCTATCTCTAGGTCTCTCTCTGTCTCTGTCTGTCTCTCTCTGTCTGTCTGTCTCTCTCTCTCTCTCTCTCTTCCTCTCTCTCTCTCTCTTGCTCTCTCTCTCTAGATCTCGGGCGTGCTTTATTTGCTTGACGGACGCAGAGGTATCTCTCCGTCTCGCCTGGCGTGTCCATTGTGTAAAACCGTCACCTTACTCACCCCTTCCGGAGTTACTGTTTATAGTGTTTATAATGTTTGTATTGTTTATATTGTTTATATTGTGGCAGGCGGGACGAAACTCGGGGGCGGCGGGATTCGGCGAGACGAGGTACGCACATTGTACCGTATATGACACAAGATAACACCCCCTCCCGACACAATACCACTCCCGGCGGTAGTTTTTTTTTCAGGTGTATAAAACATGAACGTTTGTCTCAGATCACGATTTATTGCGACGTAAGATGACACCCCTCCAAGAAATATCGCACGAGGTGTAAATTCGTTTTGGACGTCAAAATATTCCAGCAACAGGGGTTGTTTTCCGGTGTGTGTCGTATTCGGTATGCTGTCGGTAGACACACGTCGCTCGCACAGCAGTAAAGCGGTAGATGCAACAACGTGTGCCGTCTATTCTTGGTATTCTGACGTTTAACGTCAACGTGCCGTGATGGTGATTTGGGCGACATGGAGCAGGAACACCGACCGGCCTCGCTATGAACAGAAAACAACGGTATCACCAGTGCTGCGTGCGGCAGGGCACAGTGCATCATTCATGAGATGTAGCCCCCCGCCCGTCTCGTGCTGTGGTCCGAAAACACAATTCCTGTGCCGCAACCGTGTCATGTTGACACGGCGAGCGCAGAGAGCTTAGTCCGCAGGAAGACTCACCGTTTCTGGGAGAGATAAGACCCGGGTCTGAGCAGGCATCCATCTGCAACGGCCTCTTCCGCGCCCCGATCTTCAAGCACCACGTGAGAAATACAGTAGAACACTACCATGTGAGAGATACACTAGATAAGTACGTACGTGAGAGATACAGTAGATAAATACGTACGTGAGAGATATAGTAGAGCACTACGTGAGAGGCGAGAGAGGCAGCATGAGGGAGGACGTGCCGAAAATGTAGAATTCGAGGATCGTGAGGATAAACCGAGCTGACATTGGTTGTGAACCTTGGGCTTGATTAGATCGCGGACCGACATTCTGAAATGTAGTTATGCTCCCCACATTTGAGCGAGTTCTACTGTCGTGGGTTGGAGTGGCGTTTCGCCTAGTAATATAACTTTTTTGCGGCTTGGCTTTGGGTTTATCCACCTACTCTTCCATCTACCTTCTTCTGTGCTTGGCGGACAGTGCTTCGCGCATTGGCCGATCGGTCGCCATTCAGGCGCGTGAATGTGTGGGTAGATGGCAAGAGGACTTAGGTCAGACGTGACCTCTGTTTTTTTCAACGATGCGGTGGTACCTCGGCCCCTTCTCGCGCGATTCTTCGAACACCAGGCTCCTGATTCTGATTTTTTGCTCATCCGAGAGCCAATGACGAAGAGCGAGAAAGAGCGCAGCTCCCAGAAGCAGAAGAGCAAGAAGGAGAAGTCCGGAAAGGTATGGTAATGGTATGCTTCGGTACGGTACGGTATGACATCGTATGGTATGCCGTGTTGGTGGGTATTCAATAGTCGGTGTCGCTAGCGAGTGTTGTGTTGTAGGCTGGGTTAAGTACCACCACAACTCTGGCAGCGAATTTGGAAGCTCGATTGTATGGACAGCGCCGACAGTGACGCCGTTGGAACCGTCTCTCGTTGAGAGCTTTCCCAAAACTTCCCTTTGAATCTAGCGTCCCTCTTCGATCTCGTACAATAGTGGAGGCTTGATATCCGGTCCTGGGGGTGTGCTATCTTATGCAACCTACGGTGCTGTACTACTTGGGAGGGGGTGATACACAACGATTGCGGCAAAAAATGCATGTTCGCATGAAAACATGCCTCGCCTGGAGCCAATATGTAGGCCGACCCTTGCTGTTTCAGACATTCGCTGGCTTGCGCGACGTGGGCTGTTGTTATTCACCACGTACCGAAAGTGGCACACGATACCACACCCTCCGGATAGATATCGAAGCTCGATTACTCCGCGACCAAGAAGACACATAAAAAAGAACTGTGCGTTTTCGGAAATATCTCGACAAGAGGCTTGAACGCCGCCGTTTTCGGCGCTGCCACTCTCTCTACTGCTGTGGAGAGATCGAGCTTTGAAAATCTGTCCGGGGTGTGTGACATCTTGTGACACCCGCGGAATACGGCGTGCGCCATCCCCCGGTGGTCTAGTTGATAAGGTCGAAGCCTTCTACAGGTCAGGTCAGGGGTTCGAATCCCGGCGTAAGCGAGCTTTTCTTTCAAAGTGAGTTTTTCGCTCGCTTCCGCTCCTGGCCTAGTGGATAGCGCTAGTTCGTGTGTACACAGAGGGAAGAGAGTGCTGAACTCTTCTCGCATTAAAAATCGAAGGCAACGTACCGCAAAAGGGGAGGGTAGAGAGGGGCTCTTCTGTGTGACCACGGGTTGGAGTTGTTGTTGTTGTTGTCGTCGTTGTTGTTGTTGTCTTCACATTAAAAACCGTTCCGTTCTCTCTGCTCAGTACCTCCTTCTGTCCGTACTAGTCAAACACTTGATGGGGTCGATTCCCGTGGTCACAGGCTAACTTACCAAAAAAAAAGTATACGAAAATAAAATGAACCCGAAGGGTCCGCAAGCCAATAAAGTGAACCGCGCTAATAATGTGAGCGTTGATTTGAAGTGAAGACAAAAAAAAAAAAAAAACGAAGCCGTAGTGTTTGGCAGCAACCGTCCGTCGATCGCAGAATGGGCCAGATTTTCACCGGGTTGGCGGGTGATGGCGCATTGCTCGCGCTACCCGAATGAGGTCACCAACTCTCGAATGACCTGCCGAAATACCCCGCAATGCGGCACCTTGGTTTTGGGCTGGGCACCGTGCGAGTCCACGGTTGTATTTCGGTAATCGAAGTCCCCCCGATGCCCGCAGTTTTTCTTCAGAGGCGACAAAGGGGGCGGCGGTAGCGGCGGCAGCGGCGGCGGCGGAAAAAATGCTCCCGGAGGGGGTGCCGCAGGGTCATCGTCGTCCTCTTCCTCCAAGGCCACCTTCAGGCACAACCAGTTCTACGTCATCCGCCCCATGCCAGTGTGAGTATTGGGGCTCTCGCGTTTGTTGTTTGTTCCGAACTCGAGTTTAGTCGGTAAGTTCAGCGACATTGTGGGTAGGTATGTCCCTTATGGAGTACTTGGAAAGTCCCATAGGTGTTCGACGTGAGTATTTTTCAATGCAGGTACACTTGGACACGTGTATGTCATGTCGGATGGGGGGTAGATTTCCCCCCTCCCAGCCGTTGTGTCAGTCGTTGTCGGTCATGAAGCTTCGAATCGTTTTCCTTTCGCACCCCCATCCTCTTCCGCCATCCTCACGCGGGCAATCAATCCCTTTGCAAACTGCCTAACGCCCTCTGCCCATGCACTCTTTGTCGCACTGCTCCGACGCTCGTTTTAATAGCGTGTTTTTGGTGGGGCAGACTGAGCCGCAGATGGAAGCACTGGAACCCACGAAGGCCACGTCAAAAGCCACGCATGTAAGTAAAGCGTCTCTCGTCTGTGCTGTCTGTTTGTTTGGCCTTCCTTCTCTTTTGACACCTGCGTCTCTTCCTCCATGTCGCATCGGATGTCTCCCGTTCTATTGCTAGCTATCTCTCACCCGCTCGCGTCCTCTCGAAGACGCGTGGCAATGGTCCAACCGCTCGAAACGCATGCAAAACATGGGTATGCCTCTCTCTCTACTGCTGTACGTTTCTTTTTGTCAGTTGAACATCGTTACGTTTTTGGCGAAGCGGTTGTTCGACACGACCAAGGCGGCACAGGCAGGCAACGCCGGGATTCCCTTCAAGAAAGTGCTCGAGGAGGCCAGGTTCCTCTCACTGCCTAGGGCCAAGGTATGCACAGTTGCATGTTCAGCACGACGACGTCGTTGTTTATTGAAACTATTATATTACAATAAGAACACAGAAAAGGATGTCTACCCGTTGGAGATATAGCCACAGTCGAAAGGGATGTGTTGAAGTATTTCAGTGAAAGGAGGTTAACCGGCTGGAAACTGGGAATATGTTGGGTCTGTTCAAGCCTTACACTGAATTATACGTTGCTGTTCATGATACATATTGTTGTCTTCTTGGTCGTCTGTTGCTGTCGACGTTTGGGTTGAAAGCGCATCCAACAGACTCTACTTTCGGTCAATCAAGTCTCTGCTCAGCTATCATCTCCCGCCGCATCCTCTCTCTCTCTCTCTCTCTCTCTCTCTCTCTCTCTCTCTCTCTCTCTCTGTCTCTCTCTCTCTCGCTCGCTCGCTCTCCACCACTGTTGCTGGTGCTGCTGTCAGGACTCTGCCAAGGGGCGTTTGAAGGAGATGGTCCGAGAGATCGGCGAGAGGCGAGACGCGAGGGACGATGGCGACGGCCCAGTATCGACGGAGAGCCTGTGGGCCGCCAAGCCTGACCTCAACATGCAGCAGGTCACCGCGCAGGTGTGGTTGCCTGCCCTGACTCATCTTGTTTTTCATGTTCATTTCGGTCTGATCGTGGTTTCTGTGCCGCGTTGGTGTCCAGATTGTGTGCAGTTCCTGCAGTGAGTGCCTGGCCTACATCGACCGTTCACGAGTAAATGAACACATGCAGCACTCGCACTCAAATGTACACGCGGCGCAGACTTGGGAGATTGCCTCTTTCGACCCGTTGATGCTACCGTGGTTTAATCGACCAGCAGGCTCTCGCGGTCTTTGCTGATTAAGTATCTATCGTGAACAATGGACGAACACTCATGCACTCGATCACACGTGTAGAAACGAAAGTCTCCCTTCTCCTCCCCTCCGACAGGCGGCAAAGCTCTTCCGACCTGAGGACTTTTGCGCTCTCGAGAGCATGGTGTCTGCGTGGGCCCACCTCTCTGACGTTGGGCTAGACACCTTGACCTCCCACGATGCCGTCGCGAAGTTCCTCCTTAAGATCAAGAAGCGCCACGACTGTTTGCTGGCCCAGGTGGGTGGTTTCTGGTGTTAGTTGCTTGCTTCCGGTGTTGATGTCGCCACTCGACGAAGGGCTTCTGCTATCGATGTCGCTACTCGACGAAGTGCTTGTGCTATCGATGTCGCTACTCGACGAAGGGCTTCCGCTTTCGATGTCGCTACTCTCGTCTCGTTCCGCTTCGCGTGGGACGAAAGAGGCGCCATCCGCGACCACAAACCGTCGGCACGTTACGCGTGTGCGCACCAGCCGCGAACGGAAAAAAGCGTCAAGAGACTGACCCGTGTCGTTTCTGTGGATTAATCACTTCCGCAGCCAAGCCAAGTGTGACTGTGATGTCTCGCTTTTAACGGAATTGCGAATCGCCTCGGCCACGACCGTCCCTCCCCAGGATGCAGAACGCCCGTGGCCAGTCCCGCCAGCATCAAGTAGGATGCCTGTCGTGTACCTGCAGCATTTGTTACAATCCGTTCTCTTCGGACCCTCGCTGTGCCGTCCCGTCCCGTCCCGTCCAGTTGGGTGCCGTCTCACCCCACCCCGTTCCGTTCCATTCCCGTCCCGTCCCGTCCCGTCCCGTCCCGTCCCGTCCGGCCCAGGTCAAGGAGGTGCGATCCGCGAGCTCGGCGCTTAGCAAGCAGAAAAGCGTCCTGGCGAGGGCGGCTAGGGTGAGAGGGCGGCAGCCTCCGGAGCACGACGGCGGACTGACAAGGCGCCTCGCGTGCATGGAGAAGCTCTCGGAGGTGCGCGGTTGCGGTGTTGTTATACATAATCGGACGGTTGGCGTTTTTGACATCAGCTCCACCACTCCATCGTGTACGGTCACGGTTGGGTCAAGTTCATGGGGACGTTGGTCGTAAATGTGTGATTGCCATACGCTATGATGACCTGTTGATTGTGCTGTAGCTTGCAATAGTCGTTGTGGGAAGTTCAAGGCGAAGGTACAGGGGGTGCGGCGCTTGTGGTAGCCCACCTGGGGTACGGATCGGCTGTGGGGCAGCGGTCGCTACGGATGGGATGGATATGTATGATGATGAACGTACGGCCTAGGACAGCATGCGTAATGCACTATGAATACCGTGATGAGAACGCGCTGTTGGACTCATGCGGCGGAGCTCGGTGAGGGCTGTTGCAGCAGCGGGACTGTGGTGTGCGGCACGCGGTTCCTTTGCTTGAACGACCTCTTGCAACCTAGACATGAGAACGAGAAGGAGAGGGACGCCGTTTATGTCCGCTCGTGGGCGAGCGTGTACGCCCGTTGTTGTTGTTGTTGTTGCCGTCGCTGCTGCTGATTTCTTGTGCTTGGCAAGACAGTGACGGCCAGAGAACGGCCAGTGAAACGGTATTTCGTGCCTGGCATTGCCTGTCGTTTCGATTCCTTGGGTCATGTAGCGCTCTTTTTCTTTTTGCGATGTGCGGAAATTAATGAACAGATCCTTGGGACCCAGCTAACGGAGCTCAAGCGCGTCCGAGCCGTGGCGCAGTACATGTACAAGGAGCTCCAGATGGTGCCGTGGACTCTCACCATCAACTATCTCAAGCGTCACGGGATCACTTCCTCCCCGGTGAGATAGACAGCCATAGGCAGAGCACACAAGCACACACACAGGCATATAGGCGGAACAAACAAATCCACAAGCACCGAAGTACTGGGCGCAGGATGACCGCCGCAATAGTTAATTTGTCTCGACTTGTCTCTCAAGGGGGGTTAGGCGTACTCATGAGCCTGTGGGCCGGGGTGGGCTTTGTCGTGATCTCCCTCTCCGTTGTGTTTTGGGCCGAAGACCCTTTCTACGGAGATACATAGCCGGCACAAAAGAACCCCGGGGCCTCGACAAGTAGGCTTGAAAAACATCGGGAGGTCTCTGTGTACTCTTGAACTTTGTCTGAATATTCTCCACTGTTACACGTACGATCTAGGTAGGAATATTGCACGCTTGCGCCCTTCGTTACCGTGCCCACATGTGCCTGTGTGTAAGCTCTTCGTTGTGTAAGGCATGGTCGCGTTAAGCAACTTGATGCGAACGTCTAACGCCCGTAACTCTTGTATTTCTTCGGTTATTCATGGATACGTGTGATGATTGGGAAGCACGGACGAGATTTCGGGGATGCAAACGGAGACGTTTCAACTTTTTTCTCGGAAAATTATTCTGCCCCATCTATGCCCGCCTTCTAGGCGTCCGTGTGCGTACGCAGCCACTCTTTTTACGAGTCTTTGTGCCGTTGGTGCCTGCTTGGATTATCTTTCGGTCGTGCGGTACGCAGCACATCTGGCTCCGTCATGCCGACCGTCGCTTGAACATGCAATTCCCGAACCCACGGCCGGCTGTTCCTGCTACCACCCGCAGTTGTTCGTAGCGTGCCGTATGACCCGACCCGTTGACGCTTTTCGTGGCTACTCATCAGGCGGCCAGTCTCCTGATGCTGAGCGGCATGGGCGATCCTTCTGGCTGTGGAGAAGGGTTCAGCTTCCTACCACGTCCTGCCGAGCAGGCGAAGGCTACAGCTTCCTTGACAACTAGCCAGAAGATCGTCGCCGAGAGGAGCGTCCAGAAGGTCACCGGTACCAACAGCGACCTCAGGTATTCGTCGTCGTCGTCGTTCTTGTTGTCGCTGATGTTGCCGCTGTTGCTGTTGTTGTTGTCGCTGATGTTGCTGCTGTTGCTGTTGCTGTTGCTGTTGCTGTTGCTGTTGCTGTTGCTGTTGCTGTTGCTGTTGCTGCTGGTGCTGGTGCTGGTGCTACTAGTAGCAGTTGTTGTTGTTGTTGTTGTTGATGATGATGTTGTTGCTGTTGCTGCTGCTGCTGCTTCTGCTGCTATTGCTGCTGCTGCTATTGCTGCTGCTTATGTTGTTGTGGTTTTGTCGTGTACCCTGATTTCCCACATATTTCGGTATGTTGCAAGCGTCTCTTCAACGAAGGAACTGTCTTCCTCGCACTCGCACACACGAGCCTCTGCTGTGACACTCGGTCCGAGCGTTTTGGCTAATCTGGAGTTCCTCTTAGCCTTAGATTGTCCATCTGCAGGCTGCCTGTCTTCTCGTGTGTCTGCTCGCTTGTCTTGATTTTGTTTTACTGTGTGGCCGCCCTCTTGCTGGTTCTCTCGGCGCGTTGACTGTTCAGGCGACTGACAATGCTCCAGCTGGCGTCGACGTGCGAAGCCATGGGAATCCCGAAGGACACTGTCAAGACCCTCCGACGCTGGGACAGGGTGCATATGATCAAAGAGCTGGCGGGCGTTGCGGTAGGTACAGTTCCGATTGTTGGCCTTGCGCACGAGCTTCTGCTGGTATCATGCTGCCTCCCTTTGTTGGTTCGTCAGCATGGTTTGTTCAAGCTGCTGTTCAGAGTTACTGCGCTGCGAAGTCGCAATAGAAATGCAGAGTGGGGACAGTTCGTGAATTCAACAGTGGTCCTCAATCCTCAAATTCAACACTCTCATCGCCCTCTGTGGCTATTTGTGCAACTGGATCGAACCGAAATGGTGTGTTCAGGTGGCCGAAAACGTTAAAGATCAGAACATCTACGCGCGGTTCGTGCGAAAGAGGCGGCCCAACGCCACCATCGACAAGGATCTCTACCGGGCGTGAGTATGACCTATGCATACCGGACGCCAAAGGCCGATATCTGGTACACGTAGCGCGTGTCGCTGCGCGTTTTGGGCGCGGGCAACCTATGCTGTGGCTGTGAGAGCTGCTAGACTCGGTGGACAACGACAACAGGCCTATTTTTTCACAACGACAACAAGCCGTCAAGTGGCAACGGTGTCGTCCCCATAACTGTTGCCGAGCGAATGGATGTATTCACATTCCTCGCAGTGGGAGTAGCAGCACCTTACCGGACCATACCGTACCATACCGTTCCGTAGGTGGTCCCTTGCAACTTGCGTCTCTCGTCTTCCTAGCGTGACTCTTTTCACCACAATGGTATATCCATGTTGCTATCGTCACTTTACGTAGAGTTGTCCAGCACCTCAGCCCCTCTTAGCTCTGAGCGCACGGGCGAGTGTTTTTTTGGCTCTGCTGAGCTCGGTCGTACTTATCTTCACTCAACGCCCGCTGCACAATTTTCATTTTTATATTATTTTTCTCGACGGCTGCCGCTGTTCCGTTTTTTCCTCTGGCAGAACCTGCAACGAGATCTGGGAGAGACAGGCCCTGGCGCTTTCGGCAACAGCGGAAGATGTGCAGGAATACGGCAGGTGATCGATCCTACATCGTAGTCATGGGTGTCTCGCTTGCCTGCGATTCAGAGGCCTTATTTCGGCGTGTTCGTTTCCTCTCCTCCTTTCCCTCAACCGGAACCTTGGCCACCTGATCCTTCCGCGTCTTTTGTATATGCGAACTTGACTTCGAACTTTTGTCCGCTGTGTGGTTGTTGCAAGATAAGTTCCCCTGCTTGTTACTGTTGAGTGTTGAGCGTACCGTACGCCTTTCGCGGCCTTCCTCTCTTGTCTGTCTCTTATTTACCCAGTGAGTCCGCTTCAAGTTCCAAGGCCAAGGATAAGGTCGAAGCCTCCAAGGGTAAGGGCGGCGAAGCGTCCAAGGGCAAGGCGGCAGGGGCGTCCCCCGGTGGGAGCAAGGACAGCGACAAGGGCGAGGAGAAGGAGGACGGCGACGACGACAAGGAGGACGATGATGATGATGACGATGACCTTGACGGCTTGAACGTGGATGACCTCGACCTTAGCGGGGACGACGACGACGAAAACGACGGCCTCAACTTGAGCGACATGGAGGAGGTACGTTCTTTGCTGCTGCTGCTGCTGCTGCTGCTGCTAATGTGGTGGCGACAGTAGCATCCGCGGAAGCGGCAACGGCAGGCGCTTTTCTGTGTGTGGCGATGCCGATGGTGTACGGCGACGGGCGTCGGGCGTACGTTCGGTCCTATTTACTACCCTACGGCAAGACAGCATGTTTGGTATGATATGACCCATCTTATTTTGAGTGTTTTCGGCGATTCGAAGTTGTTGAGACAAAAGTACGCCCGGGAACGTACCAGTCTCCGAAGATCTGGTCTTGTCTTCTAATCACGTGCTCCGCACCGGCTCAGCACCTGTGCGAGGGCCCGCACGGCTTGCGCCATGATCGCACATGGTCCTTCACTCAACTAACTTGAGCCGTGTCTGACCCTCAATCAATGACTGTCGTGCAGACGCTGGAGGGGGGGGACGGAGACGGAGATGCCCCGGTTGCGAAAAGCCTCCAAGACCTGTCTTCCTCGTCCCAGAAGAACACGGACGAGCTCGACGACGAGCGACAGTACCGCATGCTCCAGCAGGACCTTCATGGGGTTCGAGGGGAAGCGGCCCGGTGGGGGACGGGAGAGGTGAGCTCGAGAGGGGGGGGGGGCGAGATGTCGTTTATGCTACTATGCCGTGAGACACGAGACCGTTGGAAGGTGGCAATAGAGCCCGGAGCCCTACATCGATGACCTGTATTGCTCGCTATTTTTATCAGATGGATGATCATGTTCCCCGCAATGTTTGGGCCCGCCGTTTCCGCAACACCGTACTGCCTGTTGGCGCACGCTCCCGGTACACAAAGCTATCCTGTTTTTTTGTTGTTGCGATTTTGATCAACTTCGCGATGCATCCTGGGTTGCTCCGCTTCCCCCCTCACACGGCGCAAACAGGGGTCCGATGCCGCTCCCCAGGGGAGCATGTCGCTCAACGTTGTGGAAGCTCGGAAGGCCCAGACAGAGGAGCTGCTAGGGCAGCTGGGGGGACGGGCGCAACTCCCAGCGCAGGCCGTGAGGCGTATCACCAGAACGGTCGGGTACGTACTTCCAAGCATTTCTTGTCGTATCTTGTCGTTTCGTGTTCGGAAGTTGGTCATAGTTTTGCGTGTGACTGCGTTTTTGTTTGCTTTGTTGCCTTCTGCCTGCCTTTTTCGTGGTGCACCTACGTAGTTTCCGGGCAAGTCTCTCATGTACTTATTGTCACGTTGTATACCCCATTCCCTGCTTCGTTGGCGGCAGTGATCGCCGAGCCTGTCTTACGGCGTGCTTCCTCCTGCTCCTTCTCCGCCTCCTCTGCTTTTGCTGTCGCTGTTTTCCGTATCTCTCTCTTGTTCCATAGTATTTGTAGTGTATTTTTGTTCCATAGTATTTGTAGGTTATTTTCCCCATATCTCGCTCTTGCTACAGGGTCCACCCCCGTCATCCCCACCGCTTCGACAACTGATTGCACCATTCAATGTCTCTGCCCGAATCTAGGCCGGACGGCACTGAGACCGTCAGGGTTTCGTACTCCTTGAGGAGGCAGGACCTCGTGCGGCTGGACGCAAGGGGGGGAAAGAAGCAGACGGCCCTCTCGAAGGTACCAACAATAATTCCCTGTCGATGGCCGTGCGGCACGTCGGCATCGTCTGCTGCCTATTGTTTCGTCTGTTGGGGCGGGACTGTCAGAATCAATGATTCCGTTCCAAGAATGGCTTGCACCGCTTGAGTGTGCCGTACCTGGGCGGTTTAGCTGATCAAGTGAAGTATTCGTCTTCGTTCGTGTCATCCCTCTCATAATACCTAGCACTACTTCGTGCTTCATTTTCCGCTGATGCCTGTTTCTTTCGACCGCATGCCGCGGACCAATCATGTTGCACGCTTTTCAGCACTAATCTCTCCCCCCTCCTTTCTCTTGCGCCTTTCCGTGGCATGCCGACACTCGCACACAACGGTCCCGGCCGTTCGATTGTCGACCTTCTCCTCTTTGCACAATCGAAATTTGTTTCGTTTGAAGAGTGCCGCAGCTTCCGGAGGTGTCGGCGGCGCCAGTCCGTTGAGTTTCTTCTTGCCCCGGCCGCAGGCTTCGGCGGAGTCAAAGGCAGCGGCTTACGAGGAGGTAAGGGGAGAAGACGAATCGCGGGGGTGGAGGTATCGATTGTTGCGTGTCTGTGAAGGGTATGTCTGGGTTGTCGGATTTCTTTTTCTTCTCTATCGTATGAGGCTATTGAGCGGGCTATCGAGTGCCGACACCATCGGGACAGTCATTCGACCTTTCCTGCACTCAGCAAGATTGGTGTCGGTTCTTTACTGTCGTCGTTCGCAAGGTTCTCCGAGGTGATGTTTTGTTGATTCAATCGAAGGCCTTGGGTTGAAACGCCGGGAAGAGGAGAAGTAGGTAAAGTCGGACGCATCCTTCGCTGCGATGGAGGACGGGGTCATCAGGGGTTGACATTCGTCCTCTCGCCTGTTGGCAAACGAACCTTGGACGAGGAGCTAAATAGCGGTAGGCGCGCTATGGTTTCGATGACTTTACGAGTTGTGTACGGGGCTCCGTTGCTGCAGTTGATTGTTGCTTTTTTCTTTTTTCGGAGCAGCGGGGCGCCGCGGCGGGGCAGGAGGAGACGGTGCTCAAGATCCGTCTAAAAACTGGAGGACTTACTACCGTTGCTCCCAAGGAGAACAAGAAGAAACGGCGACGAAGCAGCACCGAGGTGAGTGCATGCGCGAGCTCCCTACTATATTTGTACTTTTTTTCAGCTCCTTGCTGACTCTTGCTTTGTATTTTTTCCACGGAGTGGTTTGGCCATGACCAATTGATCCCCTTCGGGTGGGTTCTTCGTGTGGGGGTCATGCGCTGTCGGCATCGATTGGCGTTATTGGCAGCAATATCGCTTGTTGCGCCCCGTTTGTAGCTGTCCTTTGAAAGCCCCGCTTGAATCGATGCTTTGATTGTTTGTTGGATGTGCATGCCGTTGTCAACGGGCATTTGAAGGCATGAAGGCAATGCACGAAACCAAAGGAGAAGGCACGACAGGTGTTTACGAGGTCGTGTGTACTGTATGTGAGAATCAATCATGCTGGTGGTTTTAGCATCGGCGTGCGATAGATGTCCTCCGTTGGCTGTGAGAACTGCGATTAATTCGGCTTACCTTTTCGCGGCGTGTGAGGAAAGGTCGGGTACTGCTGCGCTAAAGCAAACCTGCTCCGAATCCAATATCCCGTGCCCTCCCCTCCCATCTCTTCTCATTCGCCAGATCGCCAGACAGTGATTGGAATGTGCGGTGCTCGCTCTGTCTTGTTGCCGTCGCCTCGCGGAGAGGAAGTTCGGAAACTCATGCCGCATTTCCTCGCGTTGCGAGTTTTTGTTTTTTTGTTGACAACGATCCACCAACGCAATGACCTGCCCGCTGTACCTCCCACAACACGTCTGTGCTGCTGCTGTGTTCTGGTAACTTTCACCGGTGCTATTGCACGCTACCTTCGCCTCTGGGATCACCGCACACGAAGCGCAAACAAAACAAAAGCTAACTGGTTTTTCTGCACTCTCCTACATGCTCACACGTAGGGCCGAGTGCGAAAGCCTGAGGAGAACATCTACGCGATCCAGAGGCAGAACTCACGCTCGACGGTGGAAAGTCGCGACAGCCGTCCGAGGAACCGGATGCGGAGCCTTCTCACGTGAGAAAGTTGTTCGTAGGAATGTGTTTCCAAGAGCCGTCTTTGTTGTTGTGTTTTTGTTTTTTGCCATGCTTTCGTAGGTTTGCTGTGTTTGGTACTATTGTCATGATATCATTTTCCCTTTGGTATCATGCCGCGAGGTGTTTTACGTTCACTCTGCGTGAAGCATGAAGTGCTTGTATTGTTTTGCTGTATTACAAAAGGTGGGTCCATCTTTTTGTCTTGCTTTGTACTTCTAAGTACTTCTTAGTCCTTGGGTGGCACTTGATTGATGGTATTGTGGTGCATTTTAGTGGTAGAGACTGACTGACCGTGTGATGCGTATGGCACGTCTGTTATGTCCTCTGACTCCCTCTCCTCCTGGTTGCTACCACACCGTATGCCGGGACTAACGTTGGGCCTGGATACGAATATGGATATGGATACGGATGTGACGCCACCCCCGGCGACGGCCATGGGGATTTCCGCTGGACATGGGGCATGGTCTGGGCATGAGTTCAGAGGTGTGGTCAAGAATCTTTCCGAGAGGCCGGACTCGATCTACTTCCGAGCACCGGTGAAGCGCAACGTCCCCGACTACTACACCAAGATCAAGAAGCCCATGGACCTCCGCACCATCCAGGACAAGATCAACAACTTCGAGTGAGACCCGTTGAGTTGACTCGGACCTGCTGTGCCGCTTCGAAACATCGTTTGTAGATTAGAGAAGGGAGTGCCTTTGTGTTGAAGACGACCGCCTTTACTGCCGCTACTGCTCCTTCTGCTGCCGAGATGCTGATTTCACTCATTTTCATTTCTGTCCCTCTCGCGTTTCTGGTGTACCGAGATGAACCGTTTCGCCTGGTTACAGAATGAACACATGGGAATGGTCAGAACGGGGGGCACAAGGAATGTGGACGATGTTTTCGGTCACAGTAATTAGTGGATTGCTCAACGACACCTGTGCTACGTGGGAGGTTGACTGTCTCTCTTTTCCTCCCGTGATTCCAAACAACAACATCAACATGCGGTGCAATGAGAATGGACGTTTAATTTCAGACTCGTTTTGATATTCCATCCAGTGCAGGTCGGAGTTTCTGTAGTGATTTGGCAACAGTTTTTCCTACCCGACACAAGTTTATTTTACGTATTACCTGGCCTCGCTAGCGTTGCATTCTATTCGTTTGCCCATTTCGATGTTATCAGCTTTTCGGTCAGCCGATGTCACGAGTTGCGCCCCGGAGTTTGTGTTGGTAACCTCGAGCACTCCGCCACGCTCCAGGTCGTGTTCGGTCTTCAAGGAAACCGTGTCGCAGTTAGTACGGTGCCCGGTCTCCTCGAAGCCGTGTAGCGCATATTTTCGTTTGTTTGGTTTGCTTCTTCAGATACCGCGGGGACTCCAAGTCTCGATTGTTCATGGTGCAGGCACAAGTTGCTTTCCATCACCAAACACCTGCTGTGTAGGTTTCCCCGACGAATTCCTCCCCCTTTTGTTGCGGGTCAAGTGACAGTTGGAACATTAACAATCACGGCTATTGCTTGGTGGATGTTTTTTGCTGCTCGCTGTTCGCGGGACGCTGTTTCCTTTCCATTTCTACGCGCTTGGCTATGATTTTTCTCCGACGGCAAACGTTTTGGATGGCGGTGGTCTTCGCGGTTGTGGTCGGTCACTCCGCACCACAGCTACACAAGCCGCGAAAACCTGATCGCTGACATGCTGCAGCTCGTGACCAACGCCGAGATCTACAACGGACACGGCCATGTCCTCGCCCAGGTATTTTCGATGGCTGCGGCAGATCACCTGCCGCCTGTTTTAGACATCTGTGTTGTGTCCTTTTCGCTCTTGCAGCGCAGTCGTAGGTTTCCACATCATGCCACTTGATGTTGTGCAATAACGAAGGATTTTAGTTTCTCTGTGTACAGTAGTACAAAAGTGTGTATTGTTTGTGTCAATAGAGCGATGTCCCACGGACAGCTGCGGATGCGATCTGTCTTTCCCACCCTGTCATCTCCCGCAGAGCAGGTTGAAGTCATTGACGTTCCAGCTTCCCTGCTGGCCTCATCTGGAGCTCCCGCCTTGCATTTTTGTGCCCTATCCCATCCTATTTCTTCAGCAGCTGAGAACCGTATTTTGTAGCGCGCACGTAAGACACGTCAGAGCAAAGTATCGAAATGGAAACTGGTGGGGTCTTTCCCGGAACCGTCTGTGTGTCATGCTCATGAGACAGTACAGTAGGTAGTGCATGATGTTTTGGTGTGCCCTGCTCATTATACGACTAGCATCTCGATCTGTGTATTCTCACATCGTACACGTCTGTCGGGGTTCTGTTGTGTGACGAATGAACGCATCTGTGGAGCCCCGTCAGAGGTTGTCCCGCAATAACCGACGTGACCAATCAAAGCCCGTCCAAACGCAAGGACCAAGCACAGCAACCAATGTTTATCTAGCACGTCTACTTTCCCTGTCCGCGTACCCCCTGTATTCTGCCCGCGCACCCCCTGGATCCTGTCCGCGTATCCCCTGGATCTGGTCCATGTTGTCCCAGAACGCTCGTGACATCATGGCGGACTGCCAGGCCCAGCTGGAGGATCCTGAGATCGCGGAGGTAGAGGAGTCGCTCACCGCCGAGCACCCGGTGAGAGAGAGAGAGAGAGAGAGAGAGAGAGAGAGAGAGAGAGAGAGAGAGAGAGAGAGAGAGAGAGAGAGAGAGAGAGAGAGAGAGAGAGAGAGAAATGGACACAGTCGAAGTGGCCGACAGCGAGGGGGTGTGTGCGTTGCTGCAGGCCACATTTTCCATCCGACCGCTTTAGCTTCAATAACGAGGCTTTTCTTCGCAGCAAACCCACACAGTGCTCAACCACTTGGTCTGTACGTTCACTTAGTCCACCGTTTTTTTAGAAGTTGCTTGTTGTTGGAATGCCCCACGGAATACCTAAGCAGCGAGCCCCCTATGAATAAGTTATGATTTGCGAGATTGCAGTATTGTGTTTCTGCCGCTGGTTGGGCTTCGCCGAAAACGATAACTCTTGTGTACTATTATTTTCCACCAAGGTCGCCATGCGAAATCCTCCCTCCGCAATACCCGAGTCTACGTGCATGGCGTCCAAGTTCCACCAAGACGTGTGCCTGGGGCCCGTTTTCGGTGCTCAGTGCCTCTCGGGTGACATTAGTGAGAAATGTGCGCCAAGCCTTTGTCGAATCTGTGGTGCGCATCTTGTTCTCGTATGGATGGTTTTTCTGCTGTTGCGTGCCTACAGCCTTTTCTTGAAACGGGCCGCCCATGTGCGAGCCACCAGCTGTGTGAAGGCCTTTGGCCGACGGTTCCTCTGCACGAGGCCCTTGTGTTTCCCAGAGCCCGGCTGTCGTGGACGGACGACGAGACCATCATTGCCAATCTCATCCACGATCTCATCCCGCCCTTGGCCTTGCTGATCTTATCTTATCTCTACGTTATGCTTTGATAGGTGCCTAGAAAAAAGTTGAAGACGGGCGGATCAGGCGGGTCTGGAGGCGGCGGTGCGATAGGTGAGAACAAAGGGAAAAACACAGTAGAATTAAAGTAACGTCGACGAGATGGGGATAAACGCCACTATCGCTTTTTCGCTGAGAATTTTGCGGTGGATGGCGTGTGTATCCATCTCTCTCCTGCGGTTCGGATTGCCGCTTCGTGATGTACGAGGAGGGTGTTCGCCACAAAGTTGTTGGTGAGGGTGGGCAGGGGTCGTGATTGATATGCCCAAGACGACCCGTAGAAGGCCTTGTTGCACGGCGTGCTGTTAGTGCGAACTCTTGGCCTTGTAGATTCGCCACCCCATCTTCGTTTGTCCTCTTCACTATATCTATTACTATTACTATTACTATTTATATTACTATTACTATTACTATTGTGGGTTTGTGCTTGTAGAGTGGAAGACGCCGCCGCCATCGCTCCTACGTCTGATGCACTGGCGGCAGACTACTCTACAAACGGGAGTGCGGCGCAGAGTGCGTTGTACTTCGTTGTTTGTATGGCGTGAGAGTTATCGGTTGGATTGTTGTTTTCTTCGAAGCCAAATGGCAAACTTGTTGTTGTGATCTCTCTCGTGCTGCCTCCTCCCCACCCTTGTTCGCGTTACCGACACATTCTCTAGGTGGCGGCAAACCTGTCGCCAAGAAGACGAAGGCGGGGACAGGCGGAAGGCGTTCGCCGCCCCAAGGCGGGATGAGCAGCGCCTCTCAGGCCAGGTACGTTTCGAGGACGGACATGACCGTGTTGCCGTGTTGCTGCTTGCTGTTGCCTTCTACCTTTCATTTTCCGCACGGTTAGCACTGGAACGGTTCTGTTGAGCACAACAGTGGTTTTGTTAGGGTTCGGTTTGAAACTGGGCGATGTCTTCGGGTGGCGCTTAAGGTGAGGCCGCAGGCCCAAACCTCTGTCTACCGCGATGTTTAGCCATGAATCTAGACCCTCTGCCCTTCCACTGGGAGGATGCTACAGAGTGTTTTTTCGGAATCTGGCGGCAACGGCCTCCTCCCTGGCCTCCTCAACCGGACGAAGTAACAGCAAACCTCATCGTTTTTTGGCGCGTGTGCGAGAAACTCGCGGTATAACTCCCCGAGACTTGCGTCCCGCTGGTTTTGCATGTTCTGATGGCGTTCTTGTTCGATCCTCTCGATGCTTGACGTGCTGTCCCTGTCCCAACTTCCTCAGAGTCTCGGCGCTGGCAGCATCCATGTCTACACCTTCGCCCGCCCACGGCCTACCGGGCAGTCTTTCTTCCCTGCAACAACCCCCCGCCGCCTTCTCCGCCACTGCCCGACACCCGAATCCCAAAGCGGTGCCCGGGGGGGGTGGGGCTTCTCCCGCAGCCCCTCCCCGCAAACCCACCATCGCGCCACCATCGGCGACGGGGTTCGGTGGAACGGGGGCAGATGCCGGTACCAGCAGTGATAGCAGTGATGGGGAGGAGGTGGTAGAAGAGGGGGGTAGGATTCTCAGTTGATGAGTGTGGTGTGAGATAGGAGAGACCGTGTGTGAGATCGATGGCTGGCCGTGACATGTGAAGTTGTGGAATTTCATACAGTGACTCGCGGACAACTTGTAATTTTTGCTTAAAACTTTCCAGCGCCTGATCAATCTATGTATTTGAACATATGACAGCCATATCGAGCAACAGGAAATGTTACCCCGCTATTCCTCTGGAGTGTGCTGCAGTGAAATTGGACACGGGGCTCTTCATTGGTCCCTTTTTGCCCCATGCAACGCTTCATGAAGAATTGGCCAAGCCCGAATTATCTCCCCCATAACTCAAGCTTAACCTTGCAAATTGGCTGCATGAGTCCGAGGCACATATACCGGCGCCACATATCGACGCCTTTGGGGGCGAACCACGCTGCAAATCCTGCGGGCAAAAATTTACTTACTACTGTAACTTGAATACTCGTGGTGTTACCTCTCACAGTTCAGGGTTAGACTTGTCTGTCTGCACGCCATTTTCTTTACTTTGCCATATTACAGAATAGCATTCAGTGTATGCTTCAACAGATGCACTGTGAGCCCAGTATCTGGCTGGCAGGTCTATTTCTCAACACTACACTCACCTCCTGTACAGACTTGTGACCCACCACACCGAACCAAGACACACTGAACTTCGTGCATCCTTACAGGGATTTTTTAGTCCAACACTTCCGGTCGGTTGGGGTATTTTCTCGAACGTGTACAATGTATGCATGTGTCCTCTTCTAATAGTTTTTTTTGCGAGAAGAGTGGCCCGTGCAGGGGTTCCCTTTTTGTTTTACAAAAAAAAGCTTATTTTAAGGGATTGTGTGCATGGTGTGTATGCGGGAAAAAACGGAACGATTTCGTGCCTAGCCGGTCCAAAAACGGGCCACGCTGGTCTGTCTGTCTGTCTGTCTGAGGTGCCTAAATATGCCAGCAGACTGGAGCCCATTTCACCACATCTAGGCACCAAATTGCAATCAAAGACTTGCGCACAACGAGTAATATTTTGCCCGGGCTGTCCCAACTGCTACATTTTCATTCCGTGGTCGGTGCGTCGAGATAGCACAGCATCTTGCATCTGTGCAAAATATACACGTGGTATATAGGGTAACCGCTGGATTCCAGAGGGGTGATGCTCACGGGTTAGGGTTATCAGCTTTAACAAGTGATCAGGCAATATCGGGATTCCACGTGTTCGACTCCTCTTTTTACTTCGATCGAGCCCTGGATCTACCTCGGCAGGGGGTCACGTTCGACTTCAGTCACTATATTGTCGCGTTTCGTCTTGCGGACGCCTCCAGCAGAACTTAACACGGCGGTTTGGTGAACGAGTGTAGAAACGCGCTCATGTTGGTCATTGAACGGCGGTTCGGCCATGCCGCGCAAGGTTGGATCAGCTGGAAACAGCGGCGATCGACACTGAGGTGGCAATCAGCGTTCGAGACGGGCTGTATCTCGCTCAAAGAAAAGCGGAATACATTTGAAGGTTTCGCTTCAACTGCTATCGATGCTTCATGAAATGTTGCATATTATTTATGTAACCAGTTCAGATTGAAAAAAGAAATGCCACACTTAAACAGCAGCAAACCAGTTCGGAGGTGGTGTTCCAGGAGGAGTTGAGATATTATAGTATCAGATGACTGCCACGAAGAGTAAAGGAAGCGATTGACTCGACCTGATTCACTCCGCTGCTCCTCACGAGTTTCAACAACAGTCGTATGTTTCAGACGTTTCATTGTCCCAACACCACGCCGGGATTCACTCCCCCAACGACCAAATTGCAATTAATTTCGTCTAAGGGGCGACCAAGATACACAGGAGCTATGTAATTGAAAACACCTTGGGGAACTACTACTGTAGGCTGCATGAACTCTCCTGTAGACCAGTCCTGCGCGCAACACCATCGATCGTTTTACACGCTCTACATCCAACATAGTAAGTACAGCGGGGTTGGCAGAATTTGTGTCAACCGTTCCCATGTGTATGTTGGAACAAGGATTACCCTATGGTTGCTAGACGCTCGCCTTGCCTTCGAAAGTAGATTCAAGGCAATGCACGTCTCCCGTATGTACCCGCCTTCGACGTCGCTGGGCGCGTGTGGCGAAAAGGGCCATTCCATAGGCTCTCTCGCAAAAGCCCCGTCACCACACAGATATGCTCGTGGTTTGTCACGATTTGACTTTCACGTTTTCATGCCCTCCTTCCTTCAACAGCGTCATATCGCTAAATTTGCTCGATAACCTCAAACGCCTTTGTTGCACGTTTACGTTCGTCCAGTCGTCCGATTTCGAGGTATGGTCGGTTCTCAGCTAACGCTAGCAGTACTTGCACTCTCAAGGGAAAACGGTCTGCCCCCCCGTCCTTAAGAGATGCTCCATTCTTCATCTGTGTTTGCGGCATGAGGGCTGACCACGTCCAAGTCGATGGCATGGCGTGTTTCCTACAAAAAAACATAACGCGCCACAGACAATTCATGCCGTTCCATCGAAAACGCCAAGGTTTGTGGGTGAGGAAAAATACCCAACATGTCGCATCCACCCTTCCTTCCACTTTCCGCCCGAAGGACTTCCCAACGATAGGCAGAAGCGTCGCACACCTTAGTGAAGCCTGACCTGTTTCCAGCGGGAACAACCGCAGCCTCCAATCAACGGACACAACAGCTTGTCTTCTTGCTCTCCGAAATAACATTGTACGAGTTTAATCCCAAATGTGTGCCTGCCAGTGCTGCTGCTGTCGGACTCCACCCTCCAAACACGGGAGAGTGGTCCAGAAATGGAGATCAAGTCGTTCGCCAACACAAACAGATCTCAGACTGAATCGCGAACACGTCCCGTCCCACTTAATCACCGTTGTCAGCGAGTAATATCGTCCGATCCTATGCATACATCTGTGGTATCACGTGCTATCTGAATTCACGGCCAAAACGCATGCGCTTGAACTCAGCCGGCCGGCAACGCAGGTCGCCGCAACCCCCCCCCCCCCCCCCCCCCCCCCGGCAAACCCCCCCCAAAAAATGGGGTTTTAATATTTCAAAAAAGGGGGGGGGGGGGGGAAACCCCCCCAAAAATAAAAAAAACCATTCCAATTTTTTGGGGGGAAATTTCTTTCAACCCCCCTTTTAAAAGGAATAATGGCAGGTTTCTTTTCCCAATTCCAAATTTTAACGTTTAAAATTTTTTTTTTTGAAAGGCATGGGGGGAGGAGGAACCTTAAATAACCCAAAAAGGTCGAAATTTTTGGGTGAAATAAAAAGGATTTTTTTAAGAAAGGGGTTATAAAAATTTTTTTATAAAAAAAAAAATGTTTTTTTTTAATTTTAATGAATCTAAAAAGG